CCTTCCGGGTCCCACACTAGTTTCGCGTTCGATGCGTCGGCGTGGTAGTTGGCGATGGCAGTGGTGGCTGTGTCAACGACGAGTGCAGAAACGACACCAAACGTTGTATCCGTGGCCACGGTGAGCTCGGTTGGCTTACCAACGCTTGTTCTACTCTTGCCTAGGGGTTGGCCTACCTTGGCAGTGACATGGCACCGGAAGCAGTCCGGCAATGGGACGCTCAATCGTTCGCGCTGCATGTTTGTGTCGGCCAGTTTGCCAGTGAAATGGTCCAGCAAATAAAGACCTGTCTTTATTTAGCTCAAGTGCCAGACCCTTGGTTCGCGTTGTTTAACGTGTGGTTTTATTTTTGCCATCCATTGATTTGTGCGATAAAACAATGGCCAAATTGGGTGAAAAGCACAATACATTAACTGTAAACAATAATATTTGGCCAGTTGGAAGTTTTTAGATGATATTGATATTACGCTGTAGCGTTAAAATCACTCAGCGGACACTTAATGGCCTCGGCCGCGTACTAGCTGCGTTAGCAGCTAGCGGACTTAACTACAAGTTTTTAGATGACGTGCATCATATACATATTTAAGGATGTACGTTTTGGCGACTGGGTCAAACTATAATGATCGTCAAATTTCTCAATAGTGTACTACCGTATTTTACGACTCAATGTTGAGTGTGGTACACCGTTTGGCAACCTCTAAAATTTTGATTTGCTCCATTGGTGATCCCTCCAGATATGCATACCCTTTTATACTGTTTATTATATCCTACTGTTTATTATATCCACGTAGTGTTTGAAAATGACAATTTGAACGAAGGGTTTTGAAATCGGAAACACCACCCAATCACAGAAAATTTGACGACATGCCTCGACCCACGCGGCGTAAGCCCAAAGAGTACAAATACTCGAGGTACGCGTACGAGCAGAAGCATGTCATCTTGCAATACCGGGACTCCCACATTCAGGTTCCATTTCGTCGATTCGGATTTACTCGATTCAAAACGCATACAAATCGCGAAAACACATACTCCCCACAACGCATTCGAATTGCCAATCAAAGTTAAAAACGTCGGAACAGAACCTGGCGATGCGCAATGGAGTACCACACTCAACATTGAGTCGTAAAGTACGGTACTTCAGTACGTAGTAGTTGGATTGGCTAGGTTATTCTAAACAGTATTTCCCAGGATCGGGATCGTCCAACCACAGGCAAAATTTATCATGATCGTCGAAGTTGAACTTTTTGGAAATAATCTTATTCCAAATCGTCCAAGTAGTTTTCATTGGCTTCAATTTTGGCCGTGGTTTTGGATGAGGAATTAATACCCTATTCTAAATTGCATTTTGATAAGTCAGTCAAAAGATCCAACGATAGATTTGGAGAATCAACACAAAAAAGTCCAAATTTTGGGTGAAAGGACAATATAGTTTTTATCAGATTTGTACCCTGAACTATTACAATATTATTACCCTACTTCATTCGATTTTACTGGAAAGTCCAAATTGGCCTTGACAATTACTACTTCATTTTCGAACTAGTATCGTTGATTCACTGGGCGTGGTATAGAATATAGAGTTGGCAGTCGACCCACACAGTGGGGCCACGTTTAATATCGAAAACACATGCAATTGTAATCCACACAACATGTGCTTAGTATGGTGGGGGTGGTGGACACATCCCGACCGCTTCGCCTTGGACGGTCCATAGGCCTCGGTTGCGTTCGAGCTTACGAAGCCGCTTCACGTCTGCCTCCATCACGTTTTTGGATGCATGAAGCAGCCACACACTGCACGGCTTGGTGAACACGTCGATGGTGCGCACAAGTCGGCTGCCGACCCCGACGCTCCAGTACGCGCATTGAAACGACGCCAGGGATGCGACAGCGTTCACGCCGGGGCACGTCTCGATCACCCCCTCGTCGTACGACACGAGGGGCACTTCGCAGCCGTGGGCGAGCAACTTGCCCGGAAACGGAGGCAGCGACGCGAATGCGGTCGGGTCAAAGTAACAGTCCACCGTGGCGCGCACTTGGTTGTAGCCGAGGCAGCGGTCGACCGTCGGCACAAAGTATCCTCCATTGCCATGACACCGCGCGCCGACTTCGACCAGACACGGCGCCTGCTCATGGGGCTGCCACATGACTTCGGCGTGGGCGGGTCCGTGGCGAATATGCAGAGCGTCAAGCACCTTGAGCGTATACTCCATGATGGTCTTGTGTTTCGGCGACGTCGCTTCCACGAGGCGGACGGCGAAGTAGACGAAGGGCGCGTCGTTGGCCGGCCCCTTCTCGTACTCCCACATTGCCACGACCTTATGCACGCCGTGGCGGGTGACTGTGTCGACCACGTATTCCGTACCGACCAAGTACTCCTGCACCAGCGTCGCCATATTGGTCATGCCGAGCTGGTTCACATGGCCCTGAATGTGGTCGAACGCGTCCTTGACCTCGGTCATGGACCGACAGAGAAACACATCGTCCCCGCCGGCGCTCTCGACGGGCTTCACAATCACCTACACTCCAATATTCGAAAAATAAAATAACCTTTTTCCATATTTTTTTGCGAAAAATTAAAAGAATGTGTTACCTGAAACGGCACGGGCTTGAGATCGTGCTCGATAAAGTCCACAATCGAATTCCACGACGTCGCCGCACATTGCTTGACGGCGCGGAGGCCGGCGTTACGAATGCACTCGCCCATCGCATACTTGTTTCGGCGGGCGACCGCCCCCGACGCGCCGTTCGTGGTCAACCCTAGTCGATCCGACAAGTGGTCTGCCAGCGTCACTCCCGTTTCGCATCCTGCGAGCACCCCCCCCACGACGTGGGCCTTCAGGGCATGCAACGTGCTGTCCATGTCTACAGATTGGTGATCATGGGGCACTGCAGAAAGGGTAGTACCGTGATGATGGATCTCGGCAACAGCATGAGTCGCGACGTCGGCTGGCATGTTGGCAATGCACGCTGGTTTGTCGGCATCCGAGCTGTGGAGAACAATGAGCTGGAAGCCGCGAGCGAGGACTTCACGGGCCACATGCAGCCCCGTCGACACGGGGTCCACGACAATCACGGCGGGCTTGGCGACGATACACATGCGGTCAGTTGGTGTTGATGGCAGCCGGGAAATTGGGAACTGAACGAGCAGCGCCTTCTGGCAGTGGTTGATGGGTTTTGACACAAGCGTCGTTTGCCTTCAGTAGGATTTTGGTCGAGTTGAAGGCGGTGCATTTCTTGTCCTAGGATAATCACGAATAATCATCAAAGTGGGAAATCATCAAACTGGGAACAAGATGACGTTGTCATCAACAATTGGGCACTGTGAAAGGAAAGATATTGACCAAAAGTGGGAACCAAGGGGAAAAATACCGCTTGAAATTCGATCGACGTTGAAGGCGATACCTCAAAACGGGAACTACCAAAAGATTTCAAATCCTGTCGTTTCATTGGCGGGATGATTGGGACAAACCCTAAAGTTCTGGGACGAACATATGGCGATCTTTGCGACGGTTGGCACTCAGCGACTTGAATGCCATCGATATGTGTCTGTCTGCCTACCTACCCTCTCGTTAACGTCGGGCTCCCCCCGATCGAGTCGCGCCTCAGAGCCGAGTACATGAATGGGTTCTGCAAGGTACATTGGTGTGCCTGATGCCAATCATGTTGCTTTGACCCGAGACAAGCACATTACATACTTGGCATCGTCGCACCATCGAATACATCTTCGCGTTGCTAGCGTGCCTTCACGAGTAACAGCATGTTTCCCATTTGAGTGTGCGAACTTCCACTTGCTCGTACGATGCTCGAGCAAGTGTCCGTGTCGTTGTGCATCCCTAGACTATGCCCACTCTTTCAAACTGCCGACCGCGTACAAACTGATGCACAAGTACTACGTATAAATCCCAATTTCACGGCTGCAGGGCGGGGGGGAGCCACGTTCATGCTCATGAACTTAGTCATCTCGACGATCCTTGTGGACTTTCATGGGATTACTGTCATAGAAGGCCAATCTGCAGTCCACCGCAGGCTTCATGGAGCCATTGACATGCACGATCGTCTGTATCTTCGATCATGTTCCTTCATCAAGTCCTTGCGCTGAAGTGCGCAAATGTGGATGCGCTTTTGTGTGATCGCGTCAGTGGAGTTACTAGTGCTGTTAGCGCATCCAGTAGAAGTTCAGGCGGCAAGTATCCGGATTGGTATCCGGAAGTCGGCTAAAAATACGAGCTCGGACATACAAAAGTCAAGTTGTTTGGGCTGCCGGGTAAATTGGGAACAAACGGGTTTCTCTTACTCCATCTTCGATTCAACCGTCCTCTGAGGAAACACGCCAGCTGCTCACTCCTGTAGGCGCTGACAGCATTAACGCAGCATTCCGTCTACTTTAGCCGTATCCGTTGCTTAGAAGGTAGGTGGGCGGCGCGACGCTTCGACCTCTACATGTATGCATGAAGGTTGTCACGACCCTAATGATGTTCCATCCTGTAGCTGAGCTCGACGCGTGGTTGGACGTACCATGTCAGACATAGGAATCGTCAACGAAACGTCCATCTTGGGCGGAAACAGTACAGGGAATGGCACGGTGTTCGGACTGCCGCTGAACCTGGTCGAGACGGAGCGCGGGTGGTGCTTGTTTGTGTCGTTCGTGTGCGCGTTGGTCGCGTCGGGGCTGACGCTGTGCAACATGTATCTCCACCTTCGCGCGTACACTCGACCGAACCTGCAGCGCTACATCCTTCGTATCTTGATCATCGTGCCGTTCTACGCGATCGGGTCGTTCCTGTCGTTCTGGCTCGTGCACCAAGCCATCTACTTCAACATCCTCCGCGACATCTACGAGTCGTTCGTTGTGTACAGCTTTTTGGAGCTCGTGCTGTCGTTTGCCGGCGGCGAGTCGACTTGCGTGTCCAAGATGGTAGGGGAGAAGGAGCTGGACCATCCGTTCCCGTGCAACTTCTGCTTTCCGCCGATGGCGCGGGATGGCCGCCTCCTTCGTGCGTGCAAGAAGGCCACGATCCAGTTCGTGTTAATCAAGCCCAGCATAGCGCTGCTATCGCTGTTCATGCTCGCCATCGACGCGTACAACTCGACGGGGTACCAGTGGTTCCTCTGGGTTGTGTACAACGGCAGCTACTCGATCGCGTTGTACGGGTTGCTGGTCTTCTACCTCGCGACCAAGCACATCTTGGCGCCGTTTTCACCCGTGCTCAAGTTCTTTGCCGTCAAGAGCGTCATCTTCATGACGTTTTGGCAGTCGCTGATGATCTCTAGCTGCCCCGACATTACCGTCGAGCAAGCATTCGCATGGAATGACTTTGTCTTATCCGTGGAAATGGTGCCCGTGGCCATTCTGTACATGATTTCGTTTGGCGCGCGGCAGTTTCAAGTGTCCCATCATCATCGGGGGGCGGCGGGGGACGGCGACGGAAAGCTGCCATTGCCGTCCCCCCCTCATCCCCCCGGCAGCACCCGCAGCGACGACGCCGCCGCCGCCGACGACGACGTCAACGACGAGGACAATGGGACCCCCCACGCCGCCGGCGAAGTCGTGCGCCACATGAAGGAAGTGCTGAATGTCAAGGACATCGTCGCAGATGCGTTCCATAACTTTAGCTCGTCGTACCAGGACTACATGCTGCAGCGCGCGGACGACGACGACGACGACCTAGAAAAGGGCGGCGACGTCTCGAGCAGTTCGATTCTCGATGCGCCGACGCCGACGCCGGACGACGAGATGGAGGCGGTGGCGGCAGCAGCGATTCCCGCCCCCGACCACCCCCACGAAGACGAGTACGAGGCGCCGCCAATCGAAACCTGCGCGGTGGAAGTGGTAGCAGTCGAAACCGTATCGCAGACGACCCCCCTGTCGCCTGTATCGTCATCATCCTTGTCTGGACTTGCCATGCGAAAAGCCAGCACAGGAAGCAACAGCACTAGTAGTAGTCAGAGGCGGAGCAGCTGCGACGTGGACTCGCCGCCCCTGCGACAGGAGGCGATTGCGATGCCGTTCTCCATGTCGGACGACGACGAGGACGAGACCCTGCTCGTGTCCCCTCGGAGAAAACAAAGCGACAAGGCGAGTTTGCTCAAGTAGCCATCATGATAGGAAAGTAATATATTAATAGCAAGAACAATAGGGTAGGGTTGGTTGGCCATATGCGATGATGTTGCCAAGATTGGGACGCATATGCTCCCATGAGGAATCCATGTACGGTGTCGCATGGAGTTCCAAGGTGAGGGGGGTCGCAAATGCGACAACGCTGCGATGGGACCGCTATAGGCCACGGATGCGGCGGCGGTCCACCATGAGATCGTTCCGAGGATTTTATGGCTACAGTATGGTAGATACAGTCCGTTCGTATGGACAAGAGACGACGGTGGTTGATGGCAGTACCAAAAGGAATATATCCGAACGCAACGCTCCACGCAACGCGGATTCAGTTCTCGTGTTAGGGTTATTTACGAACGAGAGCGGCGGCGGCGCGGCGGACTGCGCGAGTCCGACCGACGGCTGCGTCGAGGTGGGGTACGGGATCGGGAGGGAGAGCGCCGACGGCGGCGACGCGGTGGCGAGCGAGAACGAGAGCGAGAGCGGGAGCGGCCGCGACTGCGTTCATAGTCCTACACGACGATGTGACACCACGGCTGGGAAGACGACGTACCTCTCGGATGCGCACGCGGCGGCCCTTGAGTTCCTCGTCGTCGAGTTTTCGGATCGCGCGATCCATTTGATCCGCAGTTTGGAACGACGCGGTACCATGGCCACGACGATCGACTTCGGCATGGGCCACGTCGCCGGCATCACGCAAGAAGTCCTTCAGGTCTTGCCAGCTCGTGTCCGAGGACAAGCCGCTCACAGAGATGCGGTACGACGTGCCATGTTGGCGCCTAATCATCATGAAGATCACATATCCATGTATGCCCATGCATCCCAGGGAATACGATTCATACCTGCTGCGTTCGTCACGTTCCATGTCACGGGGGTCTTCGCCACGCGGGCCACGCTTGGTGATTTCAACACGAAGCGTGTTGCCATCCAACTCGGTACCGTTCAGCTCCCGGACAGCGTCTTCTGCGTCGCGCACATCTTCGTATTGCTACCATGGGGCCCATGAGCCAGAGATGGACCGAATAAGACGTACGACAAAGGCAAAGGACGGCGGACGCGAGGGAGTCTTGATGCTGATCTCGAGGATCTTGCCAAACTTCTCGAACTTGTCGCGGATGTCGCTCTCCTTGACCTTGTCCGAGAGGTTGCCGACAAACACCTTGTTCGCTTGACTCATCTTCGTTCCCGTCCAGAAATGTTCAAATTCGATCCTCCCCCTTTCACGCCTTTTGATTGGTCAAAATAGACCTATTTTGAACAGCTTTTTTTCTAATAATTCGATTTCATTGGATATAATTCGGACGGACAGTTTCAGCGTGAGTTTTTATACGTCAACGATGATTGGATGATAATCCAAAACCAATTCCTATTTCTCCATGTCTTCCTGTAAAAAATCAATTCACAACGACGCATGACTTCATTTAAGATCGATGATCAAGAACCAATCAAACGGCGCAAAATTAGTTAAAGAAACCATTTGCAATTAAAATCCATTTCATGTCTATCCGAAAAGGAGAAAACGCAGCTTTGACAACTCCTTGCAAACTTATAACCTGTGGAAATGGATGCGATGTCGTTTATAATCAAATACCGTACACAGTAGTTGTACTGTTGGAAATAGACCTGACATTTCAAAGACCCCAGAAATTTATTAAGTCAATATCCATAACCATAATCAAAGATATATAATTAAATAAACAAACAAGTTTTATTTAATTATTGGCTTTGCATACGCTCAAATTCATTTGATTCTTACGCATAAACCAACACTCCTTCTTCGTCATTGGTCCCACAAGAACATCACTTTGGTGATGCAACGCTTGCTCAGGGTAATAAAATCGAAAATGGATTATAGCTAATCAGAGGCAAGTAATTTCAGATTGACCAATGGAAGAGATTGGAGCCTGGTTTGGGCGGCAAGATTCGATGAAAGGGTTCCCGAAATTCGTACTATGTGGGCAAAACCTACAAATGTATTTCATTTTTGAATGAAAGTTGTTAATTTAAAATGAATATAAAATGTTTTCGAAATGTTATCAGCCCAGTGCAAAACTTTGACCTACAAAAACCTACCTAAACTTTGTCCAAATCCTTCCAACGTTATTGTCCATATACTGTACCTCTTACCAAGTTTTCAACGAATATGTATCAGATTCATGAAATTCGTGTTGGTTCACGTGAAATTACACCTCAAACATTGAAGTTTTGTCGGTTTCATCAACTTCAACCTAAACCTCCTTGAATTTCAATCGCTTGGCTCGTATAACAGAGCGCAACGTTAAGATTACGCTCCTAGATTATGGAATGAAAATATGTTATAATAGAGTCAAAATTGACCACGAAAGTGCATCAATCGTATCGTTTGAAACACTTGTTTACATTTTGTTACCTGCCAAAAGTATTCTATTTTGGTTTGAATTCCTAAAATGGTGAATTTAACACGGTTATGTATTGTTGGTTTTGCCCACGCCAAACTGGTTTTCACCATTTCCCGCAGCCTCCTGTCGAATTTTACACGGTTACCTGGGGATTTTGCTAAGGCGAAACCGGTTTCTGTCATATTTTGGATTTTTGTACTGATTCACCCAATCCATCGATGAATTTTGTGTGCAAAAAGTAGCACAATGCACACTCATTTAAGTCTTAGGGTGAGTCTGGATGTTAAAAAAAAAGGCCAAAATCTTCGCTATTTTGGCAATTTCTAAGAAATCGGCCAAGAATGAAAAACTATCCGTCTGGTTCCAAAAATTGGAGAATGCAATATTTTGCCGATTTTCGCTATTTTCGCCAAAAAATAAAAAAGAGGTTCAAGGGACATTTTTCTGAAAGTCGGCGAGAACTGAGAATATACGTAGATTTTCTTTCGAAATCAGTTGATCCAGACAGTCAAAAATAGAAGACAATCAAATTCTTCGAATTACTTTGAACCAAATTTCCGAAATATTAATTGGGCACAAATTGGGGGGTGAGCCAGACCCCTAAACCCTTACACTAAATCGTTGAGGAATGGTTGATGCGAGGTATTGTTGGCCGGTTGAATAGTGTTCTGGAAATTGATTGGTCGAGTATCGGTTGCCTGCCGATTTGTTGTGCTGCTCATTCCATTGAACACTAATCGACTTACAATATTGGGATAACGTTATCAAATCCGCTTGCTTGTCTTGTTATTCTCAATGCAAAATGTACGATTGCAAAACACAAGACTGACTAGTAGTATTCATACGAAGTATTGTGCATTTCAGTCAAATTTGCCTATTTTGGGGGATTGATGAAATTGCCAATAATCGAGCAAAGGAGTATGATTGGCTACAAAGAATGATGGTTACAAAATGATTGGTTAAAAAGATTGATGATGCATTGCAGTCACACAAAGATACCTCTTAAAAGGAGTTTTGTATGAAATTTCGAAGGTCCGGTGATTGTTCGGCGGTTCATTCAACAGGAAATTTTCAGTAGAACACACAATATATGGTTGTAGAAGAGCACTAACGTTATTAATACATAATTCAGCTACAATCTCCTAGTTTCATAGTTTTGACAAAGTTACCCGCCTTCGTCAGATGTGTGTCACTCCGATGCAATCTCGGCCAGGTCATCCACGGCCATGTCGACATACCACGGGGCTTGCGGCGACGTCACCGGCCACGACTTCTGCTTCATCGGGTCCATCCAGTTTACTGCGGTGAGGTCGATACGCCGAAGCACACTGTTCTCCGTCGCTTGAAAGTACACATGACGCCGCTTGTGATCTCGGATCACGATCCATTCCGTAGAAAACAACGGTGAGATGATGGGCTGCACGACTGTGTTGAGCAAATGCAAAGCGCTGGACACGCCGCTTTGGTCGATGGAGGCCGTCGCTACGAAGCTCGTCTCCACGTCTTGACTCCTCGAAGCGACGTTGTTGTACATGGCCAGACGAATGAATCGATCTGTGGACGTCCATCCCGCTGGCACAGCCTGGTGCGGCGGCGTAGCGGCAACGCGGTTCAGTTGAATGGACAGACGTGGATCGTTGGTCAACACTCCTAATGGATTGTCCAACAGGTGCATTTTGCCGTCGAGGAACTCAATCGCCAAGGACGCGCCAGTCGCGTCGTGAATCGCTACATGCAGCGGAAGCGTTTGAAGCGGCCCCAAACCGGCGAGGAGCGTCAGTCCAATGTGTGTCAGATCGATACCAGTGGGTTGAATCGCGGCCATCCCCACCTTGACGTCGTCGATGGTAGCAAAGTTGCCTGAGGAGGGATGGCGTTAGTTATTAGTTAATGGCAAGTCCATGGGAATGGACGAGTGTACGAACCAAGGATGTAGCTGCAGAGATTGCTCACGATGGGACGGCTGGGTGTGTCCAAGGCATTCGTCGTAGGGTAGACAGTGTCGGACATGTACAGCCACGCCGCCGACAGGCCTACACACACAAATCAACACTGAACCAAATACAGTAGCGCGTGAATAATGCGAGATTACCTTCCGTGTTCAGTCCATCTGTTGCAAACGGAAGGGTGGCGACGTTGAAAGATAGGAATCCATACTTGGTTGTCCATTCATGCCCACTCTGCTCGGTGAAGGATGTCCCCACGGCCACGGTGGTTATGACCGTGTGCAAGTCGAGGTTGAAGTCCATCGTCCTCGCAGAGATCACATTCGACGACGAGGAAGCATTGAGAAGGAAGTCACTACATGCTGACGACAGGTAGATCCACAGACTCATCGAGATCAAGCATGTTGCCGTCCTCATGGGGGTGGCGCCAGGTCGTTTCAATAAGGGTGTTGGCGTTTGCAGTACATATTCGTTGTTGAAGGGTTTCACCTCGAATAAAATTTGTAAGGGCCACTCTGGCTGCCACAAAAAATGTCAGAAAACACTACTTTTTACAATTTTTCAGAAATATTATGACAATTTTTCAAACGATGGCTTTTGTGTGTTTGGCTACAAAATCTAACATCCAAACTACTCTTCTCATTAAAGTAGCATTTTAAGCTCGTATATACTTACTATAATGTGATAAAATACGTCGAATTTTTACTCTTTTCTGACAAAAATAGTTTGAACTGCAACTGCCCATATTTGTCCAAGATGATATTGGATCGATAAGTATCATTCCATCATGGCATCCAGAGGTCATATCAAAACATTTTGAAAATATCTTCTCACCTCCCATATGAAACGGGAATTCTCTGTCAGAATATTAATTGACATAAAAATTTCTGTGGCATCCAGACTCGGCCTAAGGGACCTTTCACTATACGAGTATTACGTAGTAATACGAATAGATATTGTGGATTCGCTATATAACTACCAAAATTCGCGTGGTTTTCTATTCAAAAATTGATTCAGGCTGGAACTTCGGATTGAATATACTTGTCCATTCTGGAAGAGCCAATCAGATCCACTCTGAATTGGATTAGCCAATACCATCGATTCGCGGCGAGATTCTATACTATTAATACCTACATTATTACATGGTATAGGGACTGCCAAAAACAAATTGTATCATGTTTAGCAGGTCATTTGCCTTTTCAACGAGCCTTTACACCTTCCACAAATGATATTTCATCACCAGCATTTGAACTAACAGTACTAGTAACTGTAAGCTTACAATCACCCACCATGCATGAGATCTGTGTCCAAGCCGAGATGCCAGTGCATCCCGACGACCCAAGTCATGTGCCCGAGCACCAAGTGGAGCGTCTCGCGACATTCGCGCACGTGATGAAGGACAAGGGCCTGGACGTCGAGTTGATTCGCGTTGGGAATGACAAAACCACCACCCTCACTCACACGTACCTGCTCTTGCTCGGGATCGCAGCGGCATCCGTCGAAGAACGGATTGTGGCGTCCTTACCCGACGAGTACAAGTTTGTGCATGCACTTCCTGGGTCAGCTCGTACGCAGCAAGTCATCTTGGCGACATTGCGCGAAGCGACCGTCGACGACAACTTGTACCTGGGCGACGAGAACCTCGAGCTGGCGTTCCACGCCCACGAAAAGTTGTTTCCGCAGCTCCAAGCACATCTCAAGGTATAACTACTTCGTACCGACAATTAGTCCATGCTTCTCGGCAAAGATGATCGTGTTTCTCCCTGGTTCCCATGAAGGTATCGCTGTTTCCACTGCACAACGAAGACGCCCGCCATCGCTTGATTCAAAAGTGGCACGCGACGCCGTTGTATGCGATCCCGTTCGAGTCGATCCATGCGTACTTTGGTCCCGAGCTGTCCATGTATTTCGTCTGGCTCGGTACCTCCTCCTACTATCTCTCTCTTGTCCTATTTATCTTGAAATTTCAAAGTATTATTTAAAAATAATATATATATATATTCGTGTTGGAGTAGACTTTTACACTCGGTTTCTGATCATTCCAAGTGTCTGTGGCGTGGCGCTGTTTGCGATGGAGTACTGCGGCGTGGCCACTTCTGCCTACATGTGGCCGTACACGATCGTCTTCTCCATCAGCACATCCGTCTTTGTCGATGCTTGGAAGAAAACCCAGCGCGCCACCGAGTTCAACTGGCAGTACATGCCCATCGAAGACACGTATGCCGAGCCAAGGTAAGCTAGATGAATACCAGTATGTATATACATATGTAAGCCAGAGGAATGTATATATATATATATGAAAACTAGAGGAATATATATATACAGTATGAAAACTAGAGGAATATATATATATATGTGAAAACTAGAGGAATATATATGTATATGAACACTAGAGGAATATATATATGTGAAGACTAAGTTTGAGGAATATATATATATATGATAGTCATCATGGTTATATCATGTTGCAGACCGGCGTTCATTGGCGAGTGGATGCAAGATGCGATCACGGGCGAGTTGGTATTTGACACACCGCATTGGAAACGTACGTTGTAGTATATATATACTGATATATATATGTATATATTATATTGGAGAATTTACAGGTTTTGTACATTCCTCAGAGTGTAGTGAATTTCAATCGACTGTCTACTCGTTTAGAATATAATGTTTGAATCATTTCTTTCCTCTGTATATTATTGCTACAGTACCGTATTTATGGTTGATCTACCTCATGAATTATAAAACGTGAATACAATTATATAAATATATCTCAAATCAATACTAGTATGATTATATTCAATTAGGAATGTCCAATCAATTCAGCACTTTTAAACTAGCATTTATTTACATAAATTGTTCCAATTCTATTTTGCATTATGCAATGATACGACAGACAAACACGGTAGTACTGTATTCATAGTATATTTGAATATGTATGTGATGTTGGGCTGTATTGACAGTACATATTATACAAACAGGAGCATGGAACTGCGATTACATCGCACTGACATACCCTTGTGTGTAGGCATGACCACTCGACTGTGTGTGACGCTGCCCCTGGTGCTGGGCATGTGCTTGTGTGTGCTGCTGTATGTCCTGGGTCTAGAGCTATTTTACGACAACAATCGCGTTTGGTTTCCCATGTGTTATGACCGCCAGGATGACAACGACACTGCCATGTGTGGATTGATCCTCCAAGGCCCGAGTGTGCTCAATGCAATCTTGATTGAAGTGATGGACTTGCTGTACCTGCGGCTAGCTCGTTGGCTCACGACCATGGAAAACTACCGCACGGTATATCCATGTACTGTCTATGACGTGGCACACGCTCGCCCTGAGCCAACCACCCAATATATGCCCCTTGAACAGCTCGCGTTTTTCACAACCATGCCGGTGTTATTGTCTTTCTTTTACCCAAAATGTGGTTGACTTTTGTGCGGATTCTTTGCCAAATCTATCGATCGATCCTTTGTACTGACTTTTGTATGTAAAGATCGTCCAGTGTCGTCACACTAATTTCAGTCACATACTAATTCGATGTTGAAATGGTCCAAGAGTGGATGATTTGATTGGCTACTTGATTCGTGATCTGTGTTTTGATTGGTCGTATATATCGATTGTGTGCCTGCGATTTGGGTATTCTGCTCATTGAGCACCTCACCCACTCCAATTTCGAATATATCGACTTGACACTATTATTGTATGTTATTGTGGATTTGAATTTCCAGACCCCGTCGAATAATCGAAAATCTCGCCGAATCGAATCACGTTAATCGACGCGATTGGCTAATCAATTTTTGAGTGGATTTCATTGGCTCTTGAAGAATGGACAAGTATATTCAACCAATCAGAACAACTCCCGCGTGATTGATTCGACAACCCACGCGAATATTGGAAATTGATTGCGAATAATTCACAATATTAGGTGGCCGAGCACGACAACCACTTGATCATAAAACGCATGCCGTTTCACTTTATCAACATCAACGCGTCACTGCTGTACTTGGCATTTGTGGCGCAGGACATGGAGCGGCTGCGGCGGCGACTGTGGATCCTCATGGTGGGCATGCAGTGCCTGGACAATATCAAGGAAGTGGCCATGCCGTACTTGATGGTATGGATGCACGGCGGCGGTTTGCACCCAGGGCATGCGAACGACCACGTTCACTCAACCAAGGCTGAGCGCGTGGAGCACATTCTAATGCAAAAGCAGCAAAGTCGATACGCCGACACGTTTACTGACTTCAAGGTGACTGAGACAAGCTATACCGTCATGTCCTGATACAACGTATGTACATAGGAAATGATGGTGCAATATGGCTATGTGACGCTGTACGCGCCCGTGTTTCCCCTCGCACCTCTGTTTGCCCTCTTGAATAACGTCATCGAAGCCCGATCCGACTTGTTCAAACTCGTCAATGTGTACGGTATGCAGCGACCATATGCCAAGCATGTGCACGGTATCGGTGTATGGGAGCGCGTGCTGTTTATGATCTCGGTCGTGGCGGTACTGGTCAACTGCGGACTCTTGGGGGTGTACGAACTGCCCAAACTAGCTCCAACCTTGTCGGACGTGCACAAGTGCTGTGTGGTTGTGGTAAGAATACTGTACAATTGGTTACAGAGGCGGATTGGGGCGGTTTTGATGATGATATGTCATGGCTATTTGTACGTACGTAGCTGCTGGAACATGTCGTGCTACTCGTGAAATTGTGTGTCAGTTGGTCCAGCAAGGACGTGCCGGCGTGGTCAGCTGTGGACAACCGACGCCAGTATTTGAACTTGCAGGCCGTGCACTTGAAACAAGCGCTTCAAAAGGCTGCCTAACGTTAATACACTGAAGATATCATACTATGTGTATTCTTTGCTTGGTGGTCTACAGTTGTGGTAAGAAGGCGTGGACTGTGAGCGCCTACTGTGAGCGCCTGCCACGTCACTTCGCGTCGCTTCGGCAAGATGCGGAGTAATGACATACACTCTACTTTACTGTAGGATGATTGGCTGAAACGTGACGCCAGCGACCTTCACCAACCTCGTGGGGTAGAGCGTTGGTCCCTGCACCCCAATCTAGTGATGACGCCGCCACTTTTGAATCCATACTCAAGGTCCATGATCCTGCTTGCTACGTCAACCATGTTCCCTACTAGTTGTGATCATGACACCAGGCTACATCGCTGTGAATCTACTTCACCCATGGCTATCCGAGACCTCCTTAACCCACAACCCGACGACGTAATGTCGTCCATGGTGCCAACAGCATCGATGCCACTCCGCGTGCAATCGAGAAAGCGCCCGCTCGAAGTACGCTTTCACATGTCGCGGCTGCTTCTGTCACGTGTATCACGGCCACCCATCACGACACTGCACCACGTGCAACTTCCACCAAAGTTCGACGAGATGGCCACACTCAGTCCCAGCAAACATCCGACGACCGACGATAGCGTGCTGCTGGCTCCACAGCAATGCCGCTACCGCAACGGCAAATGCACCCAGTCGAGAGCGCGAAAGACCAACGGTCAACTACACACACTGTGTGACATGCACCGCCACCGCAACATTGTCAACCAGCATCGCGTGGATGCAAGGCGGCGCAAGGAACGTCTGGCCAAAGTTGTTTAATCATACAAACGGATTCATAGAGTTACACAAAACAGTTATACTTGTTATTGCATTATTTATGTCCCCCTGAATAGTTCGCCCATCCACTCAACGGCGCGACTTCCAAACCCATGTCTTCCAGCAGAATCGACACGTCATAGACGCACAGCCCGACCGGCGCTCGGTAAAGATGCCACAGTGGGGGCACGGCTGGTAGTTCCACTTGACCTTGGCCAAGTGCACAAATAACACGTCCGTGGCCGACAACGTCCTCATCCCCTGAGACTCGCGACACGTCTGCCTTGGGTGCCACTGGTTCGCGCACGCCGTACACATCGCCGTCTTGCACGACGTACACACGAGCTTCGTGGCAGGTTGCAACGAAGTAGCGTTGGTTTCTTTGAGGGGGTTGATGTAGCGGCACTGGGGGCAGCTCACCCCCGTGCCCAGACGCCACCGATGCGCCTGTTCGACAAACGAGCGTGCCGTGGCCGACAACTCCAGCTCGCGCACGTGCGCCAACTCGATCGCCTCCTGGCAATTGGCCCACGGACACGTTAGCTGGTCGAACCGACGGCTGCGAGCGAGCTCTTCAATCCACAGACCAATGCACTTATGACAGCATACGTGGTGACATGTCACTAGCGACCACGCTTCGGACTCGCCAATTCGTCTGTGGAACGCGCGAAGGAGCTTGTGGACCCACGTAAAGGTCCGGCACGGCTCGAGACAAATCGAGCAGCACGAGGTTTGCGTCGAAGGGGGTGGCATCGAAAGTACCAGTTGCCAACGAATTGAAGAAAGGTGATGGGCCGTTCATTGAAGTTGCCTGTGATGGTTCTGTCAGTTGATAGATGGGACTGTAGTCAGAGTACCCATCAACTTGATGACACGGCGGTGGCGAGACGGATACGACGGGGTCTGGAAACATGTACCGAATCCACACTAGGACATTTGTACAACTTACGAGTACATTTAGACATCGTAATACCGTGTAGCGTATATAGGTTTAGATAGCCATATAGATTTGGACTCCTCTGTAAAATTATATAAGCCTCTGTAAAATTATATAGTTGGAATATTACACTTGATTATTGTATGCATATGGTCCTATCCGTATCCGGATACTTGCCCCACCACTGTCCAAATCTATATACGTTACACGGTACTTGGGACACAGAACTGGTCAAGTGAAAAGCACCGTTTTACGTACACATGGGGGGTCAGTTGACCTTGCCCAAGCCTTTGGCCAGCACACAACACATGCCTTTGATGTCTTGTTAGCCCAATCTCAACACCGAAATCACTGACTCAGGTGAATTGGCATCCACCTGTCTTTTGAAAGTCGACTTGACTTTCAAATACTCCATCATGGTATTGAACTGGGCCTTCCCACCAAATTACGAAGCAAAGTTCTCGGCTGGGGGAATGCCTGCAACACGAAGGGCTATCACACCGTCGGTAGCTGCATTTTCAGTCAAACAATGCCCAGTCGCATTCTGTAGTGCGACTGATGCTACATACCTCGATTACCCCCACCACCCTTATCAGCACTGAAATCCCTGTGATTGCGACAATCAATCAACAATAGTGCCAAGAGTAAGGTGGTTATCAAGAATTCCAAATATTAATATTTTGTACCACTTCGAACTACTTTGAAGTATCAATATTAGTTGATCTACGCAAGTTTTGACACTCGCGATACAGTACCATCATGACCACACACCCCTGTGACGTGGCAAGTGCAGACAATCAACAAGGGCAGCAGGTGCAGCTCCAAATCTGCTTTTCCTATCCCCAGCAAGACTAGACCTCTTTTGATTTTCATAACATAGTAATATAATTGTTAGCGATAGGTTCACGTCTTCTACTCTGCGATGTCGTCCTTTTCGTCTTCGTTGCGAAGAATAGCCTCGTCCGCTCGAGCTTGCCAGTCCGAGCGATAAATGATCACGAGATATGCCCCAACGCCAAGAGTGAGACCAACAGAGAGGCCAAGCCAAGTGCCTTGCAGCCCCCACTCGAACTGGAACGCGAACAGCCCCACCAATGGCAGCCCCACGATATAAAAGGCGATAGCATTCACGATCGCCCCTGCATTCATCACAATATCCACCCTCAGTGCCATAATTGTCAAGGCGTATTTAGATCCATCGTACCGATCGTCAGCTGCCCCATGCCCCGCAAGATGCTCTGGCTCGTGGAATTCAACCCATCAACGACAATGAACCCTGCAAAGATTGCGACAACACCTTGGAACGCCCTGAGGTGTCAAGTTAGATGGAGTACTACTGTAGGTAAGTGAAATCAACCACGTACTCGATAGCGTCGGGATCGTTGAGGAACAAGCCGGGCACATATCTGTGACTAGCCACAAATACAGCAGCCACGACCAAGACAATGCCGACAGTTGCAGCCAGCGACGCGTTGGAAATGACTCTGGCGCGGTTGGGTTCGTTTGCTCCCAGCGCATTGCCCAGGCGAATGCAGCAGGCCGTGCCCACGCCAATGGAAATGGAGTACACGATCACGTTGATCGTAAGCAGTACCTACGTACAACCAACGAAATTGGCTTTTTCTATGTCTAAAGCTTGGGTGGCTTACGTTGTGGACAGCCAACGACAGCACAGCGCTTGGCAACCACCCCACTGTGATGGATGCCGCGTCGAATGCCAGCTGCTCGACCATCGTCATGATCATACCTGTGGAATCGTTCAGCAATGCTAGCTACTAAAATAGCTGCTTGGTGGGCAATAGGTTTTCATATACCAGGAACGCCAAGCTTGAGGAATTCTGGAATGTGTTTCCACGCCGTTTGCCACTGCGCCATCCACGAGTGGCTCTCGGGCCACCACAGTTTGTGCACGGGGTTCCATAACATGTACATGTACGCAAACAGAGGCAGCAAGTTGTAGCAAATAGTGCGTCCCAAGGCGACCCCAACAAAGCCTACCAGTTTTACGTGAGGGTTGAATGCAACTGGATATGTATATATCATGTATACCGAAGCTTGTGTGGTAGCCCAACCAGTAGCCCAATCCAATGTTCAAGACGTTGTCGATAGCCGAAATCCATACCATTTGAGTGACTATGCCTTGAGCTTGCAACCCCTTTTGCATGAGCTCGTACAGAATAAATCCAGGCAAGCCAAGGATCGCATATTTGTTAAATTCGCCTAGAGTTGGACACCATCAACAACAGTCATATGTGATAGGAAGATCGAAGACGTACCGGCCAAGGCTGCAATTTCATGCTCTTGGTTCAAGGCAATCAAGATGGCCTCGACGTTCCAGTTGAGAATGAAGATTGGGATGCACGCGAGACTACCGTGCAAGTACATGGAGGGTTTGAGATAGTTGATTTTTAGAAGGAATATACCTCATGACGATGAGACCACTTTGAAAGTACATGCCAAGATGGTGCAATTTGCCTGCTCCGACAGCTTGAGGGCACAGCGTGTCCAAAGCTGAGAGGAGCCCAATGACAACGGACACCCCAGTCAAGCTCATCACCTCGGGACAACAGAATTTAACGAAGTACTGGTGGTACCGGTAGTGTGCAGACTTACCAATCCAGACAAGGACGAGGCTGCAATGTATGCACTCGTCATGTCCGAGTCCATGTGCCCGATAAGGACTGTCGAAGTTGTGAATGGGATGAACATGAGGCCGGAGGAGAGGATCTATAGTGGTTGCACGGTCAAACGTGGCAATTTCTTGGGTTAGGGAGGTACTACTCAAGGCATATCATACCAATGGGAACGCCAACACAAAGTTGGCTTTGACTTCTTTCCACAGTGTCGTCGGTGTTTCGACGGGAGCAGTCGATTCCATGTCGATCGTGTTGCCTTTGGAATCTGGTGTGGGCAGTCGTACAAACCCGACGGTAGGCGACGTGGTTGGGCCATGAGCTAGAGGGGTTAGAGGGGAGTGCACGACAGTGTTGTCCATGGTGTGTTGGCTACTAAAGCGAGTTTTATGTACTACTCGTGCATGGAGTGTCGCAACCACTGTACAAACCAAAACAATTGGGTGGTGTCAGTTCATCATATTGCCGGCCCCAGTCTTGTCCCTGTCCTGCATCTTGTATGTCCTGCCATGTGGTTTATCACGATGGCTTTATGGGCAAATGAATGGAATTTTGCCCTAGACAAGCCTTACACGCCCATCACAATGAGCGGCATCCATTCCCGAGTGCAACGCCCTTGATATTTCGTTTCGATAAGGAACATGCAAGCTCAATACTACTAGGTAGTAAGTACACTGTTGATTGCGCAGTGACACCCATCGGTACCTGTAACGTTACAATTCACAGACCTATCACATGTACAAATTCCACGGATGATTCCCTCATCAAAAGCGTACCACTTTTTGTTTTTATCCAAAATACTGTTATCCGGATAATGTTACACTTACTGTAGTGGCGGGCTGTACTAGTGGTGGTACTGTACTTGGATTGGAGCCCGTAGTTTGGCAAAACGATAGAAACCTGCAATGTGGGAATTACTCGCAATTCCCAATTTCCATTTCCCTGGTTTACACCCCTGCTGTGGGGAAGTAGTCCCTCCAATCTTAATCATCATCATGTTGCCATCGAGGAATCCACCCTATATACAGGTACTAGTATAGCGTGTAGCTGGCAGAAGACTAGACTGCCTCAACCACGTGAGGACACTTGTGGTAACGTTATGTGGAACCAATGAGGAAACGTTATGGATACCTGGAAGTGTTTGAGAGTCGTGCTTGTAGAGCTGCCTACAATCACGGCCTTGCATGCCCCCGTGCTCATTCCAATGGGCGAAAAAGACAAAAACATGGGGTCGCCGTTGAGCAAGTACGGGGTCAGCGTCGGAATGAGACTTTCGTCGAATTTCATCTACCATTTTCATACATACTGTAAGTGTTCATGTATATACATCATAGTTAGCATTGCACAGGACTGCCGAAATAGCGACACGTCGACATAGTAGGATTACCTTGGCTCCCTCATCAAATCACCATCACCATGCCCTTCCTCATGAGGTTGGCATACCCCAGTAGACAGTCGTCGCATTCTTCGACGGACCTGGCCCTCGTAGCGGACGCTTCCGCGGAAACCTGGAATATTTCGCTAAGTTACGAGCAACTTTCCATTGTTGCTTACGAAATCATTTCCCTTCAATAGAACCAGAAAACCTCGGAACCCCCCAGACCCCTTGTGTTGCTACCTGTTTTCCGTGGATTACTGTAAGCTACACCTCAGTGGTTAGCGATACTGTGGCTAGCCAGAATGTGTGGTCTGAAATTTTGACTATCACATACCAGTATTGATTACGTAAGCAATGATCAAAAGGAATTACTGTTTGATTTTTGGGAATAACATCGATCATTGGTCAACGTTTTATTGTCGACTCAAATTCCCCCAGATGAGCAGCAACGCCCCCAGCAGCCCCACAGTCATCCCTACGCCCCAATTGCATTCTCATACCATAATGCGGAATTAACCCATTTGCCAATCAAACATTACGCCGTTGAAACTCGTACCCAATACATTTGTTCGCATCTTAAACCACGTTTTCGTTAGCCGCGTATCCCCCAACGGTCGGATGTCAACGAAAGCCACCAGCGTCGCACTTTTGAAAAATGATTCTCATCCAAGCTGCCAAATCGCGCCCACTGCGCTATTTTGCATTGGTGCTGTTGGCGCTTGCCGTGTGGCGGTACATCACCCACGTTGCCCAACGACAGTCCGAAGAGTCTTTCCCCGTCTCGCTGTGGACCCCCACAACGTTGACGTTTGACGTTTGGGGCGGGTTCGTGTACGCGATTCTTGCAATCGCACTTGTTCGCGAATGCCTGACCCCTCGCCCCCCCGCCCCCTACATGGGACTTCTTTTGATCCTACTCAGTGTCGAATTTGCCGTGGCGATTCTCGCCCAGGAGCTTCGAATGTTTGGCCATTTGACGTTTGCGCTGGTGGCGCTGTGTGTGTTGTGGGGAACGCTCTTGACCTCGTTTACGCTGGTGGAGCACCACGTGGAGCCCATTGTGATTTCGTCGCTCGTATACAGCGATACTGATCACGATTACACGACGTCGAGTCGGTGGGATTACCTCTGGATCCGCCTGCCGTTGGGATTGTGGTGGGTGTTGAGCAGCGCAGAATTGCTGGCAGTTTGCCACGCCGTTGCCCTTCATTCTGATGCTGCGCCCGATATGCGAGTGTTCGTATGTTCGATGAGCGGATGGGTGCTGGTGAGTGTTGGCCTCCTCTTGACCACAGGCGACATAGCGATCATGGTGGGGTCGCTGTGGATGTTGTGGGGCGTGGCAAATGCCAACTCTAGCAAATCCACCGACGAAAACCACACGATGGCAACGCTGGCGGGGCTTGGAGCGTTTGTACTGGGTGGATTGTTTTGTTTCTTGGTGCTGCACAAGGCGTGGCGAGGACCGAAAGACCGTTGGGCTCCTGTGTTTAGTCTACGTGGAGTGTCTGCTCCCCGCCGAAACGTCGTATAAACCTGTGCTAATATCATTGTTCCTATATCAAGTGCACATACATTCTCACCCATGTTACAGTATATTGCAAGGGATGAGTGCTGTTTCCATTCAGTGGATCGAGGCATTGTATACTTACATTTTGAGTTGCATGGATATATATGCCCAGACGTTAGTGCAAGGTTTGAAAACAAACTACTACTATGCTTAGTCACACCCAAAACTTGTCAGAGATACCTCAAAGAATCCACGCCATAAATGGCGTCCGCCCAGAAACTGACGGTGGGGTGCCATGTCAATACGAACTCAGCGGTTTGAAAATCATGTCGCCCAACGTTTCAACGTCTGATTTTCGTGCATCTCGTTGAAGCGCTCAATGTCCAATTCGCACCATGCCTTTCGTGCGGTTTGCCGTCGTTGCCCTCGTCGCGATCGCCAGTACCACCGTGGTTATGGGTGCATGCAAGACAGCCGTGGGAGGCTCTGTCACTGTGAACAAGTTGGGCGACGCGTTCTACCTCAAGGCCGGAACTCTCGTGTCCGTCAATATGGCACTTTCCGCCCCATACCTTGTTACCATCGCGGGGAAGCAGGGGGGCAAGGGGTATTACAAAGAAGCCGACCTCAAGTGTTGAGACCAATTCTACGTAACGATACCTAATCTATACGAATATTTTACATCGGAAGTCAACTGGAACTCTTAAACGGAGGTCGAAAATACTTACCAATCAGTATTGTTGTATTGTTTAGCGAAACCCCCAGGGTGGGGACCTCGGTTTCGCGAAACCCCACTTCATTTTACATCACGTGTTGCTGAATCATGGGCAAGCCTGCCACCACCACACCCCATCGTATTATTCCAGTGCAAACCAAGGAAAAGTACTTGGAGGCCAGGGAAGATGGACCCGTGCAGCACGGCCCCCTTCAGCTCAGCCGCCTCGCGACTGTTCTCGGATTCTTGTACTTGGCCGTGACCGTGAGCTGCAGTGCATGGTACCTCAAAATCGTCGAGCCACACCTGGATAACGACCTGTGGCTGCCGCATTTCAATTCGACGGGTATGCAAACGTACTTGGGGGATCTTATCCACTTGCGGCGCAACTTGAACCAGGTCGGCACGTTTGATGTGTCTCTCCCCGACTCAACGATACTTCGGGCGTACGGCGAGGTGGACACGCTGCTCACGTTGCCGCCATCCAACCCCCGACAGACACTGCTGGACAGCATTCCGTTCGACGACGTTATCACGACCATCCGCATGCAATCACTGGATACGTACTTGGCATATCGGATTCCATACTGCTGGGCGGACATGAGTCGACGGTTTGAAATGGCGCACACCGTCACCCGCCAAGCGCGCTGTGCCGCGGCGGACAAGGACAACGCGGCAGTGTACCTTGAGACAGTGCTGCGCAACACGGAAGTGCAGGCGATTTTGGCTTGGCCGCTGTTTGATCTCCTCAACGAGACAGTGCTCGTGCCCATGACAGTGGTGGACGCGGTCGAAGGGCCGAAGTGGATTGCGAGCATTGTGCACGGCAGCCTTCTCCCCATGGCCGACGAAGTCCGGTTCTGGGACCGCCAGGGGCTTCACCGGTTCACATTGCAACTGCAGAATACGTTTCCCCAACGAATAGACGACGCTATCTTGCTCGAGGATGCGCTCGGGATGCAGCAGCGCTTCACCATCAGCTCCATGTCCGTCACCTCCCCCGAACGTGGAGCCGGCACAACGTTTTGGACGTCTCTCAGTCTCTCGAGTGACTTGACTGTGGCCAGTGCGTTCGGGTGCAGCATCGTGCGCGGCAGCCCCAACGACGCCGCCGCATTGGGACTCAGTTGGGACACGGACTTGGTGTACGCACAGGCCGCCGGCTTCGTCGGCACGGATCTCATGCGGGCCAACGTGGGGCCGCTTGGGTCAATTGACATCCGAACGATTCCTGTCCCCCCTGCCTTGACAGAGTACTTTTTGGCATTTCGAGCAGGTCTGTACGACTACCTCCAACAAGACTCCAATGCCCGGAAAGTGTACTTTCACCTCAGCGAGCCAGTGGTGAGCCCCGTGCCCGCCACGTGGGGCGGGTTGAGCTACTACGGGGGCAATCCCATGTGTGGGCTACAAAGTTCCGCCACTTTTGTCCAGCCTTCGTTTGGGATATCTGACGATTGCGCCGAGCAGGTTCCGTACACACTGACATTACGCCGCGAAAATGTGTTCTTTGCATTGATCAGCAGTGGGCTGTCCATCGACCAACTTGGTTTTGTGTGCAACCTCAGCTCGACTTCCTCGGACCAGTGTCTAGCCACGTTGTTCACTGCGTTGCCCTTGGTGACAGTGTGGAACCAAACCACTGCGTTTGGGAATCAATCCCCTCCTCCCATCACTGCAATGTCCAACTTGAACATTTCGTTCATGCAATTCGCTTCAGCCATCGATGACACCACCAGTCAAAGCTTCCTCTTGCAACCCTTGGTCACCCCCAATGACCTGTGGGCGTTCTACGGGTGGTTAGGAATCCACGAATGGCTGAGTGGACTCCGTGAAGTGTACAGCTTTGAAGGGGACATTGCAACGCTGACTGTACTCACGGAGGCACAAGACGAGGTGTATCTCGTGGCCAACGACTTGGAAATACCTCGCAAAGGGTGCTTTTACATTTGGGTCATTACGATTTACGTCACGTTCGTGCTGGTATTGGTGGTGTCATTGATGATCTGTTACGCGTTTTTCATTGGGTTCCACGTCGAGTGGTGGAACCTCTTTCAATGCAACTGGGTCATCGGGTACGTTTGGATTGGCCGACCGTTCCTGTTCCTTCGCGGCATGACAGCCATGCTTCTCCTCAGCTCGTCCACGGTGTCGTTTGCCAACAACCTTGGCTTTGCACGCATCTCGTTTACCCCGAAACCGCTCATTCATACCATGGTTTTGGCTGGCGAGTCGACGTGGCTCACAATAGTTCTACATGATATTTTGCTACCCTTCACCGACCAAGAACTGACTGTCTACGCCCCATTGAGCACGGCGTTCATATGGGCCATCATGACTGTGATCCAAGTCGTGTCGCCGCACGGGGCGACCCTAACCCTAGATCGCACCTGTTCGTACGAATTCGTGGGTTTGTCTGCGAGCTGCACGAGTGCGACCGTGCAATTCGGGAGCGTCCGTCGTTTTGGTCTGCTGTTCATCGTCCATGTCGCTAGCATTGCATTGGCATACTTGATCGTCAAAGTGTTTTACAACGTCACAGGCCGACGCCGAGCCCATGGGAACGTGGTCGCCCATGTGCTCATTCCCGGGGTCGCGCAGGCATTCTTCATCCAGTCCGGGAACGGCGAACTGTTCCTGGACCGCGTGGCATGTGTCATGTGTGGCATGTTTTCGTACCGCGACACCATCTTCCACGCGCCGAGTTGGATTGTCCTGCACTTGCATGCGCATAACGGCATCGGGTTCCTCTTTGACGTGGCCAAGTTTGTCATGAAGCCGCTGACGGCGCCAGAAACAATCAAGAAACACAAGTACATTCGGATTTTGGGCCTCGTGGGACTTGTGAATATGGGCATGTCCGTGACCGGTAGCTGGGCGTACTTGGGTCAAGTCAAAGACATCATGTCCAACGACTTTTGGTGGGCGGGGTTCAATACCACTGGACACCAAACGTACCTGTGCAACTGGTTCAATCGCCAATTGAACGAGCCCACGCTAGGACGAAGCGTGGAGCTTCAGATGAACCAACTCGAATATGCCGAAGTCGGCACGGACAACCATTACAACGCTACCGACACGGTCGTCTACGTGGCGCCTCTGTACGCGTCGGCGATTCAATTGGAAGTGAATACCCTGTCGAACGTAATTACTGGGCTACGGGCCATGCAGGGCTGCGACGTGCCGTGGATTGCTACCGCCTACTGTTACGTCGATTTTGGTCGAAAGTGGGAAATGGCCAACTCAGAGACCCGCCAGGCGCGATGCCTCACGTCGGAACGTCAGAACGCCGCCGTGTACTTGGACGCGGTGCTGCGCAATGCCGACTGGGCGTCGCTGACGTCGTGCTGGCAGGATTCGTTGTCGACAGGGGTGTTTTCGTACTTGAACACTTTTCAGGATGGCAAAACGTGGCTACAAACGCTACCGAGTGGCCTCGCCATCCACGACGAACTCCAGTTCTGGCAAGCCAATGGCATCTCGGAGTACGTCACACAGTGGCAAAACTACAAACAGCTGGGGATTGTCGAGACGTTTGACGTTCAGAATGCGTTTGGGTTCACGTACCCCATGACGATCAAGCGGTCGCGGGGCTCGTTTCGAACTGAGCTGGGAGCGAGTTCGTTCAAGATGTCGTGGGGGCTGGCCAGCGACTTGTGGGCCGTGGCGACCAACTTGACGTTGATTGGGGGGCTACATCTCGTCCGCCAAAGCCCGTCGTTTGCGTTTCGAAACGTCACCCCCGCCGCCCTCTTGCAGCAGAACTTGACGCTAGGGTCCCCCATGAACCAAGGACTGTCCCTCGTTCAAGACACGTTGGGGCCGTTTGGCAACATCGACATGAAGCGTGTGACGTGTCCGACGTCGCTGCGTCAAGTGTACCAGAACCTGACCGAGTCGTTGGTATTGCTGCTGAACGTGAACGCGTCGACAGTGTCCGACTACCAATGGCTGCTCCAGAACAACGCAAATCTCATGAACATCTTGGAGACGTACCAAGGGCTTTTTGTACACAATTTAGCTCCGTTCTCGTTGCTCGCCCCGGAATGGAACTCGACCGTAGCGCTTTGCGGGGGCAAACTCATGTGTGGCTTTGACTCGTGCGGGGGACGCATGGCACAGGACTTCTTTAGTGCCACAGAAGAGTGCGGCGCACCGTTGGTTTATGACGAAGACGCGCCGTCCAATGAAAACCTGCTCAAAGCGTTAATCGCGTCGAACGTTTCGAACATGCAAGTCGACGACACCATGGCGTACTTGTGCGATTGCAATCAAGTCGATCCGTTGGCATGTGACAACTGCAAGGGCATGCTAGCCAACAGCACGACGTTCCTAGCCACGTACTTCACGCCCACTAGTCTAGCCGCACTTCGAACCATGGCGATGGCGGTGGAAATCGAAGTTCGAACCAAACTCAAACTTGAAATGGTCCAGTTTTTCACGGACGCGGTGGACGGGGTGATCGTCGAAGGAAACGTTGTCGAATTGTCCCGGATTCCGCTCATGACAGATCCAAAATTGACGTTCACGACGTGGCTGTATCTCTTCGAATGGGTTGAAGGCCAACGGGAAGCGGTGACCTTTCAAGGCGATACGGACGCCCTCACGACGCTATCCAACCCGCTCGTGATCCAGCGCGACCCAGCCAACCCGCGTGAACTCCCCCTCAGCTTTTCCTACTATGCGTACCGGCTCAGCCAGTACATCACGGGGGTATTGTTCATGGTAGCCATCGTCGTGTGCCTGTACATCATCACCAACAAGGGGGATGTCGAGTATGGTAACATTGGCACGTTCAACATGGTCGCGGGGCTGGTGTGGGTCGGGCGGCCGATGATCTTGCTGCGCGCCTTTTCTGCTATTTCAGTGCTGGCCACCGCCAACATGGAGCTAACGCGTTCGCCAGTGCTCACTCGCATCTACGCTGATACGTATCCGTGGTTCACAACCTTCTTGTCGACGGGGGAAGTGAGCTGGCTAGTGTTTGTCATTGACGACGTCGCGTCTGTCATTATGAAGGAGCACACGGCCGAATGCAAGATCAAAAACAAAGTGATGAAACTCCTGGCGGGCCAACTCTTAGCCAACAGCGGCCAGTTGTCGTGGGTGAGCTCGGGCTTGTGGAGTGCGCTAACTCCGGTGCATCACATCGCCCGCGTGGGTCGCATTTGCACGCTCATATCGGTGGACATGGACGTCGAGTGCTCCAGCGGATTGTTTGAATACGGGATTCCTTCCCGCTTCTACGGCATCGTGCTGGTGACGTTCGCCGGATGCTGCTTTGCCTACTTGTTCAAATGGCGGTATTATGTACACCATGACGGTCCGCACAAGGCCAGTTCGTTCTTTTTGCCCGCGGTCGCCAAGTACAATTTCAATTTTCGCAAATGGGAAGTCAACGACACTTTGTATTTGGACAAGCCGTCCGCGGTCCTCTCGGGCATCCTCATCTTTGAATACCACGACATCTTGTACGTGTTTGACGTCAAGATTTGGCGGCGGTATTCGATCGACGTGTCGGCGTCGCGGCAATCCATGAAGGGCCACACCCACCTCCAGCATTTCTACCACGCTCTGCCCCTGGTGGAATGAGTATGTACTTTTGAAACTATGAATTCAGCATGTTATGTACATATAATGATCACTTAGAATCTTCACTAGTCGTGTGTTTGGTTTTGGAACAACCGCATTCTATTAATAGTATGCGCAACGTTGTAGATGTCCTCAGCTTGAGATCGTCGCATTTTTTAACAAGAACCGACTGGGAAATGAAAATGATTTTATATTGGCGATCCGTAAGATATACTCCGACGCACCACGCATCTATCAAAACCGAGTTGACATGCGACGACACATTGTTGTTATTACTCGGTTAACGGCAGCGCATGGTACAGGTGCTGCATTGAGCCGTACTGTTCGATGGGGTTTCGAGGCGTGTTGATCGCATAACACCGCCAATTCTTGATGTCAAACACGTAAAACGCATGGCTCGCCTCGACGATGAGCACGCCCGCGAGAATCGCAGATGGTTTGTCAATGTACAACACGTCGTCGACATGCCACTTGGAAAAATCAAAGCTGTACTGGGCGACTGCCGGCAGAAATGCTGACGTCCTTGTCGGGGGGGTGGCAGCCCGTTTGAGGAGGACTAGCTTGAGTCCAAAGGCTGTCACGGAACAGGCAGATGCGAGCAGGACGAGACCACAGAATCGACTGGGAATGCCATACTCCAACACCCCGCTCGAGCACGTCACGTCCAAGTCCACCTCCAAGAGGTCGCACTTCCGTTGGACGGAGATGGCGTGACGAACGGGGGCCACGGAACTCCACGTGCCCGAGATGGTCCACGTCAGCATGGTGCTCTGTGTCAGAAACGACGTGAGAAACGTCGCCAGCAACGGGTTTTGCACGGTGCAAGTGAACGCGCGCTGTTTGGTCACGATGGACAAGATGTCCTCCAATACAAACACAAGCCAGTTCAACTCGGCGGTAGAGAGAAACGTCTTGTACCATGGTGCCGACACCTCTACCATCCTCGACACGAGTTGTCCCGCGTTGAGGGGGGGGTCCATGATTAGCGTCGACGTCGACAGGACACAGATCGCCGTGAGGCTTCGCACCAGAATGAGCGGCCGACCCACCCACACCAGCCCCGCCACCTGGTTGAACGTCAGCATGTTCATGCCCTCAACACGCGCCACCGACGTGATGATGTAAAAGCACACGGCGCACGCGACGCAAAACAAGACGCCCGTGATATACTGGCTCAACCGGTACGCGTAAAATGAAAAGCTCAGCGGAATTTCGCGCTCGTTGGCCGGCGCCACCATTCCAATCACGTGGTCGGACAAGGTTGTGATCGGGGTGTCCGAGTCGCCATGAAACGTGACCGCTTCTCGCCGCCCTTCGACCCAATCCATCAAGTACAACCACGCTGCAAACGATGGCACGGCGGCAGATGGCTCTCCTAAGAGCCGCACGCGGGATAGCTCCACGACACTAGATGGGACCAGGACCCCGTCGGGGGCATCTGTGACAAACTGCAGCATTTCCAGCTTCACGTCGTCGCGGAGGTAGCGCTCCACGGGCGCCGCCAAGTCCCGTAAAGCTGCGAGAGATGGAGGTGTATAATACGTGGACAGGAAAAAAGTGCCGTTGCGAAGCATGTGCACGCAGTCGTCGCACGACGACGGGGGTTTCGTTTCACAGCTGCAAATCACTTGAAGGGTGATGTCTTCTTCCAGGGAATTCAACCCGACGGCTAACATGGCCTTGAGCAGGTTCTCGTTGCTTGGAGATGTGTCGTCAAGCTCAAACGCAGCGCTACAATCCTCCGTGGCACTGAAGAAGTCCTGCGCCATGCGACCCCCGCATGAGTCAAAGCCACACATGAGTTTGCCCCCGCAAAGCGCCACCGATGTATTCCATTCCGGAGGTATTAAAGCGAACGGGGATAAGTTGTTTGGTAGTAGATTCTGGTATGTCTCCAAGATGTTCATGAGATTTGCGTTGTTCTGGAGCAGCCATTGGTAGTCGGACACTGTCGACGCGTTCACGTTCAGCAGCAATACCAACGACTCGGTCAGGTTCTGGTACACTTGACGCAGCGACGTCGGACACGTCACACGCTTCATGTCGATGTTGCCAAACGGCCCCAACGTGTCTTGAACGAGGGACAGTCCTTGGTTCATGGGGGACCCTAGCGTCAAGTTCTGCTGCAAGAGGGCGGCGGGGGTGACGTTTCGAAACGCAAACGACGGGCTTTGGCGGACGAGATGTAGCCCCCCAATCAACGTCAAGTTGGTCGCCACGGCCCACAAGTCGCTGGCCAGCCCCCACGACATCTTGAACGAACTCGCTCCCAGCTCAGTTCGAAACGAGCCCCGCGACCGCTTGATCGTCATGGGGTACGTGAACCCAAACGCATTCTGAACGTCAAACGTCTCGACAATCCCCAGCTGTTTGTAGTTTTGCCACTGTGTGACGTACTCCGAGATGCCATTGGCTTGCCAGAACTGGAGTTCGTCGTGGATGGCGAGGCCACTCGGTAGCGTTTGTAGCCACGTTTTGCCATCCTGAAAAGTGTTCAAGTACGAAAACACCCCTGTCGACAACGAATCCTGCCAGCACGACGTCAGCGACGCCCAGTCGGCATTGCGCAGCACCGCGTCCAAGTACACGGCGGCGTTCTGACGTTCCGACGTGAGGCATCGCGCCTGGCGGGTCTCTGAGTTGGCCATTTCCCACTTTCGACCAAAATCGACGTAACAGTAGGCGGTAGCAATCCACGGCACGTCGCAGCCCTGCATGGCCCGTAGCCCAGTAATTACGTTCGACAGGGTATTCACTTCCAATTGAATCGCCGACGCGTACAGGGGTGCCACGTACACGACCGTGTCCAAGGTGCTGTAGTCGTTGGAGGTGCCGACTTCGCCAAACTCCAAGGCTGTGGCGAAGGTAGTTGTAGCCGATATATTTGAACCAAATTGAAGCTGACGATTGAACCAGTTGGACAAGTATGTTTGGTGGCCCGTGGCATTGAACCCTGCCCACCAAAAGTCGTTGGCCATCACCGTTCGGACAGACTCGAGGTACCCGTAGCTTCCCGCGACGGACGCACCCATATGGGCTAAGCCAAAGAGGCCCACCCATCGAATGTACTTGTGGTGTTGCTCAGTGGCTTGGCGGTGCTCCAGCTCGACCGATGAGACCATGATGGAGGAGCAAGGGGCTTCTCGTTGAATGTGTTCAAGTTTCTGCATGTTTCTAACTGGCACACTCAACTTGGCGACGTGAAACATGTACCCGACGCCGTGCAATGTGGGCGGTTTTGTGAGTCGCGTCCACGACGGAATGTGAAACAACGTGTTTTTGTACGAGATCATGCCGCACATGACACACGCGACCTTGTCTAGATATATGTCCCCGTGGCCAGATTCGACAAAGAAGGCGTGGACGATGCCTGGCAGGAGAATATGTGGCACACCGTGGACCATCCCCTTGTGGCGACGCGTGGTGGCAAAGTACACTTTTACGACGAGGTACACCACTACAATGCATGCCACGTGCACGAGGCACAGCCACCCGAGGCGGGTCAAACTGCCAAATTGGACCACCCCACTGGTACACGTCGCTTGGATTCCCAAGAGAGAATACGTGCATGTTGGATGCAGCGAGATGGACACTGTGTGGGGCGTGGTGACCTGGATGATCGTGAGCACAACCCAGACCAAGGCGGTGCTGATGTGGGCATGGAGGGTCACGTCGGGGTCGGAAAACGGAAGCAAAAAATCATGCAGGACCACCGTGAGCCATGTGGCCTCGCCAGCGATGACCATCGTGTTGAATAGAGTGGGCGGGTCTGCCACCAGAGACGAAAACCCATCGTGACGGATAAACGCCAACGACCCCGAGCTGAGGAGCAGCATGGCCGTGATGCCGCGAAGAAACAGAAACGGCCGCCCGATCCACACACACCCGATGACCCAGTTGCACATGAAGAGGTTCCACCACTCGACGTGGAACCCAATGTAGAAGCCATAGAGAATCATCAGCGTCACGATTGCCACAAGCACGTACGTAATGTACACGGTGATGTACCAGATGTAGTAGCACCCCTTGCGTGAGATTTCCAGGTCGTTGGCCACGAGGGCAAGCTCGTCTTGGGGTTCCGTGAGAACAGTCAGCGTCGCAATGTCCCCTTCAAAGCTGTACACTTCACGGCGTCCACTCAGCCATTCGTGGATTCCTACCCACCCGTAGAACGACCACATGTCCTTCGCGGCGACCAAGGGTTGCAAGAGGAAGCTTTGACTCGTGATGTCATCGATGGCTGAAGCGAATTGCATGAACGAAATGTTCAAGTTGGACATGGCAGTGATGGGTGGATAGAATTGACTCCCAAACGCAGTGGATTCGTTCCACATTGTCACAAAGGGAAGTGCAGCTAACAACGTGGCTAGACACTTGTCCGACGAAGTCGAGCTGAAGTTGCACACAAAGCCAAGTTGGTCCATGGACAGCCCACTACTGATTAATGCAAACACCACGCTTTCTCGACGGAAATGAACAGCGTATGGGACTTGGGCTGTACAATCATCGGCGATTCCAAACGATGGCTGAACAAACGACTGCGCCGACATAAACGGGCACATGGGATTGCCCCCATAGTAGGACAAGTTCCCCCAAGTCGGAGGCACAGGGTCAACCAACGGCTCCGTGAGATGCGCGTATGACGCCAACAGCGACGAATTGCCAGACTCAAGGAAAGCATACAGGCTCTCTCGAAAAGTCAAAAAGTATTCCGCCAAGGCAGGTGGTATATGGATGGTTCGAATGTCAATCGACCCCAACGGGCCAACGTGCGACCGCAGTAGATCCATCCCTGGCACCCCTTGGCCTGCCGGAAACAGGATGTCCGTGTCCCAGTCGAGTCCGAGCGCATTTGCGTCGGTCAGTCCCCCGCGCACGAGGCTCATGCTGAACGACGCCGCGGCATTCATGTCGCTAGTGAGACTCAACGACGTCCACGACGTGGTGGCTGGCATTGCTTGACTTGACGGTAGAATCGACCGGATGGTGATTTTTTGCTGGATGCCCAACGCATCCTCGATCAAAATGGACGCTTCTACGAGCTGGGCATCCTTGTTTTGAAGCTGCAGTGTAAATCTTGCAAGGCCGTGACTCATCCAAGCCGCGGCTTCGTCGGACACAGGCAGAAGGGAGTGTCGAGTCAAGATGGATGCGACCCAGGCTGCCCCGCTAGCATGATGGTGGTCGAGGAGGGGGGTGAACAGGGTTTGGTTCAACATGTCAAAGAACTCCCAGTCGAGAATGTCGCTGGCGTTCACGTTTCGAAGCACCGACTCCAGGAACACGGCGGCATTGTCTGCATCGCGCTGCAAGCACCGTTGCTGCCTTGGGATTGTATGGGCCATTTCAAACGCCCTGCCAAAGTCTGCCCAACAAAAGGGGGTGCGGTAGGCCAAGGACGTGTCCAGTGACTCGGACCGTATGGCGAGAATGGCGCCTTCAAACGGAATGTCACCGAGCAAAATTGTCCGGGGTGACGATGGGGGCACAGTCATCGTCGTAGACTCTTGTCCATATCTTTGGAACAGCGTGGGGGGATTTGAAGCGAGCAGTAGAAACGTGTCCTGTGGTCGCTGCAAGTTCATTCGTGAGTGCACAATGTCCCCAAGAAACGTTTGGATGCCAGTGGCGTTGAAGTGGGGCCACCAAATGTCGTTCTCGAGGTGGGGTTGAACCAGCGTCAAGTACCACGAACTACAGCTCACAGATGCCAGCATGTACACGAAGCCACACACTGTCGCATACATGCGGCCACGATGTCGTTTAGGTGTATTCGCTTCTTTCGCTGTCGTTGGAAGGTTTGGCATCGTGGGTGGTGTCAATACACTGCCAATTGAGGTTGAACGGGGTGTAACCGGTGAAACTGCTTCGAGTGGTTTCCGATTTGGCAACTATCTACTACGTTGAATTGTCCAACATTCTTTCAGTCGAGTTATTGTTGCAACGGAGCCACCCCCTTTTAGTGACGCCGTCAAAAGAAATATGAATATACCATGGATTCTGATTTTTAACATGTTCTAACCAGTCTATTGACAAAACGGAATGCCCAACGGTAGGAACCCCCGATGTTTAACGTGTCGTCATTGCAAGATATGCGCTCGAGTCAACGCTTCGCCCCGTCCGCTTATGCAAGCGAACTGACCATCGAGATTCCCCCTGGTACGGCAGGTTCAATCATTGGCATCCGTGGCTGCAACATTCGTCGCATACGGGAATCCTGTCGCGGCCTTCGAAGTTGTAAGATCCTCTCTACTGACCACGCCCACCTTGTTGGATCGAAAGCCGCCATCGAGCAAGCTGTGGGGATGATTGAAGAGCTTGCCAACGCTACATTGAAATTCAAAGCGCACTCTCGGCCCAACGCCGACGGCTCTTGCGGGGTGACATTTAGTGTGCTCGTGTTCGCGCCATCGGAATACGACATCCTCTTGGCTCGACCATCGCCCATGGCGAGACGCCACCTCGAACGTATTGGCAGCAAAGCTCAGTACCCGTCGTATACGTATAGCACTGTGAACCAAGAGTCGTGGCCTCCCCCGAAGGACAATGCGGATGCATTGGCGGAGCTAAGCGTGTTTGGGTCCAAGAAGCAGTGCGTAACCAGTGCGTCGCTCAAGCCGCTGGGTGGGTACTTGAAGACTGTGCACGACAAGTACACGGGGAACAATAAACTGGAGAACCAGTACGTGGTGGTGTCCGTTGGAAAGACGTACTTCCAACCGTGGCAGGACATTGGTGAGGACTCATCGATGTCACTGGATGAGTTTATGGCCCAAACCCCGAAGATGCGCCAACAGTTTAGCACCGGAGGCATCTCGGCCACCCACGTCGAAGCGGCGGAGCTATGGTGCAGCTACAATGGGTACAAACAACTCGAGCTGGTTCAGACAATGACATTGCACATTCAAAACAATGAGTCGCCGGCTCGGAGCATCTCATCCCGGACTCAAGTGACGTTGACGTTACCACCTGGTGTACCCGACTGGGAAGCCATGACTGCGGACGACATCGCTAGTCTCGAACTCCACTTCAACACGGCCCCTCAACGGTTGGGCTTTGTGTCGATGCATACGGCGGACGAGTCGACTTTGGAGATGCGATTGGCGTTCAAAGCCTGTATCGCTGGCGAGCTGATTGTGCCCGATGATTTGCTGGAGCAAGTGGTGGCAGCTTGGAGCTTTCGCAAGCCCGGGGTGTGTCTTGAGCTTGACCCCAGTTGCAACATGAAGGTAGACGCTGTGCGCTTCCAAGCAACGCGCGTGTGGGCCAACGCCCACTACACCATCGCTATTGATGAAGTGATGCAGAGTTGGTGGGGAAAATCGGACGATGCCACGTTCTGGACCATCCAAATGGCGAGTCCAGCGATGGAGGAGGTTGGCTGGATGGACATGACGCGAGATGAGTTTGCCAGTGAAGTGTTGGAACTGGCAGACCAAGGGCAGAGCCTACTCGCTGCGCTCAACAATGTCGAAGTGTTTGCGTAGGGTGTGCCATGTAGCATACTGAGTACTTCGAGGTATAACTGTAGCAAGCCATTCCTTTGATTCGACAGCACCATTATGTTAATACACCAAGAAAGGATGGACCTTGCATTTCGAAGTATTTTGTACACCTGTATACAGTAGCTTACTTGATGCTGAGATTGGAACGAAGTGTGGATTACTGACTGTGAAGTTGAGTGCGAGTAACATTATATATAGAGGGGCCACCTTCACTACTTCGACAGAATCGTCACCTCCACGAACCCCCTACTTTGTTCTGCCACTCAGGCCGGCGATATTACCACATAACGTTACAGGGGGCGACGGATTTTACTCCCGCGCCTACCCCTGCATCCACACCAGGTCCAACACCACCTCGTACACCTGCACCTATACCTGCCTCAACTCCTGTCCGTACACCACAACCTACCCCTGCGCCTACTCCTGCACCCACCCCGGTACCAACGCCTGCACCGACGCCTGAACCAACTCCGGCGCCCACTCCAGCACCCACACCAGCCTACCCCTGCACCGACGCCTGAACCAACTCCTGCACCCACACCTGAGCCAACTCCTGCGCCTACTCCAGCACCCACACCTCAACCTACGCCTGCACCGACGCCTGAACCTACCCCTGCACCCACACCTGCGCCAACTCCTGCGCCTACTCCAGCACCCACACCTCAACCTACGCCTGCACCGACGCCTGCACCTACTCCTGTACCCACACCACAACCTACCCCTGCGCCTACTCCTGCACCTACTCCTGCACGGACACCTCACCGTACTTCTGCACCTATACCTGCCCGTACTCCATCACGTACACCAGCACCCACATCTGCACGATCATCTGCACCTACACCAGTCCGAACGCCAGCGCCAACGCCTCCACGAACCCCTGCATCTACAGCAGCACATACCCCATCCCCAACTACTTCTACATCTGCCTCTACACCAGCCCTAACTCCTGCACCCACACCTGCTCCCACGCCTGCTCTAACTCCTGCACAATCCCCAGCACGAACGCCTCAGCATACGTCATCGAGTACTCCTGCTCCAACACCAATACAAACTCCTGTGCCTACAACCACGAGCACGACTTCATGCAACGGCATTGAAGACAACATAGACTACTTCGGGAACGATCTTGCATCCACGTCCCAGTCGTCTGCCGAATTCTGTTGCTCAGACTGCAAGGTGACATCTGGCTGTAAAGTGTTTGTCTGGACGGACTACAACGGAGGAACCTGTTGGTTGAAATACGAAATTGGGGCCAAGACGTACCTAGCCGGCGCTAAGGCTTCGATTGTGGTACCTTCTGCACCTACTCCTGCACCCACTCCGTCGATCACACCAGTGTGCAACGGAATCGTAGACAACGTGGACTACTTCGGGAACGATATTGCATCCACGTCCCAGTCATCTGCCGAATTCTGTTGCTCAGACTGCAAGGCGACAGCTGGCTGTAAAGTATTTGTCTGGACGGACTACAACGGAGGCACCTGTTGGTTGAAATACGAAATCGAGGTCAAGACTTACCTGGATGGCGCCAAGGCTGCGATTGTTGATTCGTCTTGTGCAAGTCAAGAACTGAACGTGGATTACTTTGGGAATGACATTGTCAGTACCCAGCAGTCGTCTGCTGATCGTTGTTGTGATGATTCCACCGCTACGTCTGGTTGCCACGCGTACTCGTGGACGGATTATAACGGCGGCACCTGTTGGCTCAAATCCTCCAAGGGCTCGGCGATTCCCCGAGATGGGGCTGTGTCAGGCGATCTAAGCCCGTGTCGCGCTTGCTATTTTGCACTTTTGAGTATCTAGTTAGTACTGCATCACAGTAGTACCTCGTATACGTAACTACATTATTATTCTTCAGACTTGTACAGTCAATGACAATTCGTCGCTAACTATACATTACTAGTAACGGTATTGTTGAACGTGGAATACCACCACCACGATATGCACGTGTACTTGTCCTTCGTTGCTTTGAATTCGCACGCTTAAAACGGCGCATTGCTGTTGGCCAGGTCAGTGGAAATCGCTTTCGCTGGGGCATAAATATTAGCTGTGTTGTGCATACTTAGCCCGCTGAGACATAGTTGACCTACTGCAGCTCTGCGGAATCTGCAAAACACTAACACTGGGGTTAAGCATCACAATGACCATCAGTGTTTGGCATTGCACCTCAATGTCCAGTCCAACTAGTGGTCGATATGGAAGTAATTATCCAGATGCATTAAGATAGTCCGAGCGTCGTAGAGGAGTGGGCAGTGATTGGTGTAAGCTGGAACGTTGAGCGTGGATCATCCCCATTTCCCAGTCGAACCACACGGTGCCAATGAACTCGATGGACGAAGAAGCACTGGTAGACACAGTTGGCGATGAAATGGAGGTGTTTGCAGCTTACAGTGGTTGGTAGCCAAAGGGGTTTAGCGGTTCGTTGGGTGGGTTCTCCACTTGTAGCTCCAACAACGCAATGGACAACATCACTACTGCACTTTCGAGCACGTCGCGACTTGTGCGAACGAAAATGTTTCAGTTCTGCCCCACTGCTTGCGACTGGGGCTACTTGAGGCAGCTTGGATATGTGTACTAGGTGTACCATATATTTAGCGTCACCGCATACCTGGTAGTCACGGCGTCGGGAGCGCACAAGGTCGGTCTACAGTATGAGGCCGTACCTGAGTTGGCCTCTTCCACTACCACTCAGTACATACTGTACCGTACTCCATTGTTTCGCATTTCAAGTCGATGTTCGTCGCCCGAGGCCTGGAAAACCCAGGGATTCCACGAAAACACCATGGCAATGACTGTGTTTTTCTCGCCGTCACTCTCGCGAAATGTCCATTGCTTCATCACGTTGTGTTTTATGATGAAACCGACATTTGATTCATTTATTTTGTCCACAATAAATGAATGATGTAGTGTGCGGACTTGTTATCCGGATTGTTCCACGCCGCTATTTTGCCACCGCTGTTGCAGCCGAAGGTGGACATGTACAACCAAGGGCAGGCCGGTTATGACCAGCAGCAGTATGGCTACGCCAACCAGAACTTCGCTGGAGATCCCCACGGCGCACCGTATAGTGCGCCGCACTCTGGAGGACATGGTAGCTACCCAGGTGGTCACGGGTTTGTGCAACCATCGTACGGACAGCAATCACAGCAACAGCAGCACCCTGGCGGTCCTTGGTATGCAGGGGACGCGTCGTCTGTACCAACCAATGCTCCACTCGCGGGATCGATGGGCAGTTTGGGCGATCAATCAGCGACGTATGGCGACGATTTTGAAAACGAACCCCCGCTCATGGAAGGTACCGTTTCTTTTCATTCGATCCCTCCCCTTTCCTCAACATGGACCTATAGAGCTTGGCATCAACTTTGGGCACATTTGGGCGAAGACCCAGGCAGTGTTGATTCCCACCAAGTCTGTCTCCGAGCACATTCTAGACGACGTCGACTTGGCCGGGCCGTTGGTGTTTGCATTTGGGTTTGGCATGCTCTTGTTGATGGTAGGATTATACCACACACACTCGTCTTAATATGGGAGAATAATACTCTCTCTCCATTCAGAGCGCCAAGATTCACTTCGGCTACATCTACGGCTTTGGTATCGTCGGGTGTCTATCCATGTGGACGCTCATGAACTTGATCTCGCCGTCGAAAACCATCGACGTGTACCGCGTTTGCTCGGTTCTCGGGTATTCCTGGCTTCCGATAATCCTCCTCGCTGCCGTCAATATCGTGGCCCCCATCAAGTATGCAAATCCCCAGTGCAATGTCGTGTTATCCAATGTCATATTTGGCCGATACATATATATCTTTGTGTAGGGACTTGAAATCGATCGGGTTTGTCTTGGCATTCCTGTGTGTAGCGTGGAGCACACAAGCGGCCACTCGCTTCTTCGACAAGTACCTCCACATGCAAGAGCAGCGCTGGTTGATCGCGTACCCCACAGCCATGGTGTACACATGCTTTGTGCTCATCACAGTGTTTTAACTTCCAATAATGCATATCTTGGTGCACTTTGCACTTCACGGCGGAGAATGTATGTCGTATGTTGGACCTTGCAATTTCGGATATAAATTTTCAGTCGGAGAAGTTGAATCCGTTGAATGACGTGGCACCCTCTCCAGTCGCGTTTGAAACCGTCAAAAAGCACTCACTCTCACGAACACGGACATTGTACATACAAATTAATGAAAGGATTCGTTGGTGCTCTCATACGACTCTCTTTTTCGAACTTCGACACTGCACCGTTGTGAACTTTTCTAGGTGAATCAATCAGAATGCGTCCATTCCCAAACATCGCCACTTCGCCATGACCATACTACGGGTGCCCACGCCGTTACCTCCGTCGTCCACGAAAGAAATGAAACAGCGCACGTCGTTCAAGCCCCTTAAGTCGCTGGCGTCCGTGCATTGGACGCGCCTTCGTCTCTGGGCAGCTTCGAAGAACCCCATCCACTTGACAGCCTCGGCAGCTACATTAGCCTCATCCACGTCACTGCTCTTGGACGACACAGACACGGACGACGACTTGACGACCGACTTCGTCCGACCGCGAGGCCGCTCAGACCCGGGGCCGCCGCGCAAACAGACCAAACTGTTCGCGGCATGGCGTACCGGTTCGCGGGAAGCCCGTCACTCCACGCCCAGCTGCTGCATGTAGTTGCGTGCTGCCAGGCTAGTTGAGTCGGTCGACTTGGCGGTCGGTCGCACACGTTAGAGTAGAGATTTGTAACCGTTGCCGCGTATATGAATGAATGCATTATAGCTATACACCTTGCTGGTGCCATTGGCTACCGTGCGTCGGACTATGGAGGAGTGGGGATGGCGACGAAGCTGCCGCCGCCACGCCAACCGACGGTCGCTTCCGTGTGGACCAAGGCGACCGCGTCAGCTGCTTGAGCAAACTCATGCCTCTTGAATGCCGACGGTTGGGCTTGACCGACGGCCGGCGCGGTGCCGACGCGTATTTTCGGCTCAAATACGCCTTCCACGCTTCCTGGATCACCCGGACGCTGTTGAACTCTTCGGTCAAGTCGAACCGGTGGTACGCCGTGTCGAGGTGGATGTTGTGAAGCTCGTGAAAGTGGCGGAGCGCCCGCCCAGCGAGTTTGGCTTGCAGGTGGGCCTCCACCTCGGCCGATTCGAACACGGTGAAGCTGTTGGGCATGGCGTGGTGGCACAAGGTGTAGAAAATATCAAGGTAAAACATGTCGTGCACGTGGTTCCGCCGGGCGTGGAGGCTTCTTATGAACCGGATCACGTCTTGGCTCGACTTGGGGTGATTCATGGTTGCTTCTGGTTGGCCCTACATGAGATTTCATACACGATATACACGCTAGAGTTGCACACGAACGTCGTGTTTTGGGGGCGCAACAAATCCCAGCGGCGGGGGCACATTTCGCAGCAACGCGACCAATTTGTACGACGGGAGGAACAACGATCCCGTTGGCGCGAGCTGTTGCCACTGGGCAGCGAACGCGTCCAAGTGCGCGTTAGCCGGCCGCCCCTCGCCTTCGTCAAAGCCATCCATGTAATTGCCAAAGTTCTCCATGATCACGGCAATGAGTAAGTTTAAAATGATATAATTGCCCACGATCAAGAACGACGTAAAGTACCACCGCCCCACGATGGGGTATTGGGGCAACACATCATGCATGTAGCACGTCCAGTTGTCCCCCTAATACAGTACTCGTTCAGCCTTCAATTCATAAACATCATCCACAACTGTGCACTTTTAGAGTACCGTGACGACCACAAACAGCACCATCATGGTGCTCGTGAGCGAGTCAAAGTTGACAACATCGCGTATGCACTCGCCATAGAGAGGGTTATCCGGGTCATAGAACAAGTTCATGCCCAGGATCGCATACACAAACGCAAACAATAGGAGCAGCGACGCCACGTTCAGAAGCGCTGGGAGCGACATGGTCAATGTCTTCAAAATCGACACCATCGAGTTCGAATTCTACAAGTTCAAACTACTATTGAAAACGTACGTTCAACCCCCCCTCCCCCCTCTTTCTCTATATACACAACTAGTATATATCTAACTATAGGACGTACACTGACGAGGTGGTACACACGCACAAGCCGAAGGATGCGCAGGACGCGGAGATGGGGAAATGAATCCATGACACTCACCACCACCGCGATGGCGTCCACCCAGTTCTGCCTCACGTACGTCTTCAAGCCGTGGGCATACAGCACGAGGGCGGCTTCCGCGACGTTGACGCCGGTGAAAAACCACAGAACTTGCGTGTACGCAGAGTCAAAACGGGGAGTGGACGGGTAGTGATCCATGGCCAGCACGATTACGCTGGCCAAAATCAGCACGCGCTTGCTGCCTGCCAGTCGACAAATAGATAGATATATCAATATGGGTTTCTAAGCAAAAGCAGTCGGAATGGGATCGATCGCACCTTGAAAGATCGGGTGGACCACGACGTTGAACACGCGCTTTCGAACGCCTTGGAGTTGCTTGTTGGACGGAGCCGGCTTGGGTTTCAGGGCAAACAGCCGCCGTTGGGTCGCCACCTACCAAGACCAACCAACCCCATGATTGATTGTTGTATTAGGATGTACACACTGTGATATTTTCTCGAACCAACGATATATATATATATATATATATGATACATAATAATAGAAACGAACTCAATCGATAGATTGCTATTCGAACCAAAGAAATATATATATATACATATACATATCGGTAAAATCCTATCTAGCGTGGCCACGTACGTACCCATTTCTGCTGGTCTTCTGTGATGAACAGGGTGCCGTTTTGTTCAGCTTTGAGCTGCTGGAACTTGTACACAATCACCCCAAGAAACAGCCCCATCATGAAGAACCCGCAGATAACCACGAATGACACAAACACTAGCGCCATCTCGGGCGTGTTGTTGCGAATCGGGTGGAGGGAGGCAAAGCCGACGCTTGGCGCGTCCATGGCCATGTGCATGACGCTGGACCAGCCCTGGACGGTGGAGATTTCCATGAGTTGCAGTGTCGCATTGGGGATATTGTCAAAGCTCGTGGTCAGCGGTCCCCAAATGCGAGTTGTGACGCTGTCCGATACACACGCTGTCGCATTGAGCGTGTATTTCTACACATATACATATATATATCGCAAAGAACTTTTCTATTCCGTCGACTGTACATAAAGCACGTACGTCTTCGGCGTTGCCTTGGCAGTACCACAGCTTTCCTGCCAAGAGGTGCACCGTCACGACGGCAAACATGAATAGAAAAATGGTGAGGATCACCACGAGGTTGAGCACACACGGAATGGTAATCAAAATGGCCTTCACGACCACCTTCATGCCCGGGTTTAAATGGATGGCGCGGAGCGGCCGCAGTGCCCGGAACAGCCGGAAGATTTTCACCACGCGGTCGCTTTTCACATCCACAGACGCTGGACACGTGTTGTCCACTGCCACGTCACACGGGGGGGTTGTGTGCATCAGGACAAATGTAAACACGACCGCTAACACCGACGTGACAGCAACGACAAAGTCCAGTAGGTTCCACCCATTGCGCATGTACGCATAGCGCCCGGTGAAGATGAACCCCTGGGCTACGATTTTCAGCGCCATCTCCACAAAGAACAAGCTCGTGACCACCACGTCCGCCTAGTCAAATCGCGTACGTGGATGCTGGAGATTCATGATGAGAGTGTATGTTGCCTACCCAAAGATACAGCGACGCGTGCGCCGTGTCGGAGATCTCGAGGGCGGACATCACGCACGACGTGAGCACCACCACGAGGACAACGTACTTGAACCACGGGTGCATGAGCACTCGCTTGGCTACCCGTCGAAGTCCCGACCGCGGACCAAACACAAACAGCGACTTGCCAACCATGAACTTTAGGCTCTTGGCATCGCAGGCGCTGGCAGCCACGTCGTCTCGTCGGCGGTGCGCTTCCTTGGCGTCTTCCAACGCCGCGTGAATGTTGTCGCGCCACGGACTCGAGTGCACGGAGAATACGCCTGTGTGGTTGCCAAATGGCCCGGACGGACCGAACCGGACGCCCTGTGACGTGGTAACCGCGGCCACCACGTCGTCCAGGATGCCCAACACCGCATCCTCTGCCTCGTCTTCGTCCCCCTCATTGGAATTGGGAAGGTTTCTTGGATCCGTGGCGTGGAACAAGGCTTGGAGGTCGAAGTCTGCCTGCCGCCCGATCGACGACGCTTCGCACTTGAACCGCTCCAACTCGATGAGCCGGTTGCCCAACGCTTCGGCCTCGGCCACCGTACCACAAAACCCCGACGCCATCAGAAACCGAATCGCTTCGTACCCGTGGAAGCACTCGAAGTACTGCCGCGGTCCCGCCTCGATCGTGTGCGTGTCCAGCTTGAACAGAACGATGTCGGCGATCTCGTGGAGGCGATTCAGCTCGTCCAAGTGGGTGGACGGCGACGGTTCCATGGACGACGACAGTTTGGAAAACATGGGCTGCACTTTGAGGCGCAGCCGGCGCTTGGTCTGTTGTCTACATGCTTCACTGTGAGCCGGCCAGCACAGTGAAGCATACGGGTTTGTTTGCATTCATTGCAAAACCATCACGCTTGTATATATATAAAATACTCACACAAATATATATAGCATTCAGTTACTTTCTTCATGATAATCTATCACGCATGCATGCATTGTGCTGCTGATAGTTCATTCAGAGTAAACCATCAATCATACATAAGCAAACCATCACGCATATATATATATAGAAGGAATCAAACAAATAGTATATACTTCGAAGTATATATTATACAGTATTTATGCTATTTGTTTGATTCATTCCCGTCACACATATATATTATATATATATATGCGTGACGGAGACAATGAACCAAACGCAGAGCTACTAGAAGAACTATAGAAATATAATACCTGGGAGACGAAATGCGGTTGGCAGACGACGGCGCATACCGATCAAGGAAATCGGTCACCCAGTGCACCACAGCATCGTAATAGTGGGCAATGTCAGCATCGGCGATCGTGCTAAAGTACGACCGGTGGTGTTCGTTCTCGTCGCTTTCGAAATCTTGGAGCAAAATAGACAAAAAGATGTTCACGACGAGGTAGTTGCCTGTGAAGAACATGAGCACGACGTAGACGGCGCCCGTGGCGGCATGGACGCGCATGCACGCGTACAGGACGTCGGTCCATGCATCCCCTGAAAACACTTGGAACACCGTCAGCAGCGCCGTCCACACCGTGTCGAACGTCGCGTAGAATGGCGTGGGGAACCCGTGGTCGTCGGTCATTTGGCTTCCAAACAAGTGCTTGCCGATGAGCGCAAAGATGTACATGGCCACACACAGCAAAAACACAAAGTGCAGCAAGCCCCGGAAACTCGCGAGCATGGTTTCCAAGAGGACACGAAAGTTGGGCCACTGCCGAAATAAGTGCAAGAGGCGAAGCACGCGGCAGGTAAACATGATGTTGATCATCCCGACGGGAACTCTGGCGTCGTGGCGACACGCGACTTCAACCAACCTATAGAACACAACAACGATATGTCAGATATTATTTATATCTATCAATATATATATATTGATAGATATAGATATTTGAGATCGTTAGTAGTACCCGACAATGGCCAAGACCCCGTCGAACCGGTTGTACTTGTCCACGAGGTACCCCCGCCCCCCCAACGCCGTGAGCTTGACCATCATTTCCATGCCCAGGGTGTATGCGACGACGTCTTGCGCTGTGACAAGGTGGGCTTCGAGGGCCGCGTTGGCGGCAATCTCCACTGGATCGAACGACTTGAGGTTAAAACACACGAGCTGGATGACGAGGGCGGCGTTCACGACGGCAGTAAACATCGGGTGGACGATGCATCTCGCGAGGCGGCGTCGCCAGGTGATGTAAAAGAGCGCTAGGGGCGCCGTCGACTGGAACGAGTCGAGCGACCGCATGCTCAGACGAAGAGTGTCATCTCGGGACAGGTACTTGATGCCGCTCCCAGAAAACCCAATGCGCGCCAATGCTGATCGGAATTGACTCATGGAAATTGTGCCTACAAACAAACCAACAAGCACGCGTTTGCAACGGATTTCAAGAGGATAAATATTGATATATACAAATATATATATATATTATTTATATACCCGTGTCGTTGGGGTCAAACTCGTGAAAGATGGCCGCAACGCGACCTTCGGCATGCTCGTAGCCAGATAATTCAATCAGCACTTTTTGCTCCAATAACGTCGACGCTTTCGACGGCGGGTCGGCAAACTCGATGAATTCCGTCAACGTCACCTACGTACATCGTACATATATTTATTCTGTGCATATATTTCCATTATATGTAGTGCAAAGTGCTTTAAATTACCTTGCCGTCGTTGTTCACGTCTAAATAATCGTGCAGGGCTTGGACGATCGCGTTGTCGAGCTTGACGCCCACTCGTTCTTCAATTTCCTACAATATATATATATATATATATCCCACACAACATCATATATTTTTTAATATATCAACAAAATAGTTTCACATTTCAAATCCAAATCCAAATCAACTACTACCACAGACATTATACGAGGTCACAGACACATACCTGAAACCCAAACACTAGCTCGTCGCGGCTCAAGTCGCCGCTGTTGTCTTTGTCAATGAACCGAAAAATCGACCGCGAATGCAGCCCCGCCGCCTTGGCCGACTGCAAAAACTCGCGCAGGCTTTGCACTGTGTGGGACACGCCACTATATATTTACACAACTGACTGTCAACCCGTCAATTCTTCTGTTCAATGTATTGTCGATCGTCGATGGTCGCACCTGGACGGCGAAAAAAACTCGATAAAGTTCTTGTACTTGACGCGCCCGTCGACTGAACTGAACCGCGTGGCGAGGGTCTTGAGTTCCAAGTGCGACAGCTTCGTCGCTGGTAGCGGCTTGACCACAACCATGTCGATGATGGACGGCCGCCGCTTGCGTTTCTGGGCCTGCAACCGTTTTTGTTTGCGCTCCAACTATCAGGGTAGCAAATACGTATTATATCGGTCCATATCTTGTTCAAGTCAAACTTTTGAGAGGTACATAGTCGTGGTAGGAAGGACAACCGTACCTTGGCAGACACAAACTCGTCGCGAATGTCTTTCCACTTTCTTGTGTATGCATTGTGCACGACCGCTATGACCAAGTTGACGACAAAGTACCCGCCCACTGGAATCACAACCAAAAAGTAGAGCCCCACCACGAGCCCCCGCGCTTCGGCGAGGTTCCACATGGTAGACCCCCAATCAGACAAGGACGCGATCTCAATCACGCTGAGCAGCCCCAGCCCAACGTTGTCGAACGATGTGAACCCAAAGTTGGGGTTCTTGTTGAGGCGGTCGTCGGTCAGGTTGAGCACACACACGCCGTCCGCCATGCACGCGCGGCCCACGTCCGGATTCGTGGAGCACCGGAATCCGTTGCCGCTGACGAGAAAACCGTTCGTGTCGACGTTCAAGTACCCGTCTGTCACGTACTCGTTGTCGCATTGCTGGTGCAGCGCGCCTTGGAACAGCGACACCCCCGCGATGGCAAACAGGACGAAAAGCACCAGCAGCAACTCGATCACGTTCACGAGCAGTCGCATCGACTCGAACAGACTCAGCACCAGCGCTTGCGCATGCTTGGACAACCGGATGCCGCGGAGGACCTTGAACACGCGAAGAAGTCGGAAGAGCGATGCCAGGTTCTTGGCCATGGCTGGAGCCGTAAAGTCGGCTGTCAGGTACGACGGCGTCGCGTCCGTGTCAGGGCTGAGCGTGGCCACGTCGGGCAGTCGCGTCGGCTCGGTTGGAAATTCTGGAAACGTGGCGTCGGGGCTGTCGGCTGGGAAAGCGTCGGGATTGTCTGGTGGACTGTTGGTCGAACCTTGCCAGTCTAGAAGTGTCGGATCTAGGGTTGCTTCGTCGTTGTTTCTGGGAAAGGACGTGTCGTCCATTTCAGAGACGCGTCGACGATTGGGGGGATCCATTGTGTTGGGGGCGTTGTCTCCAATGGACTCCCCGTCAGTTACAGACGCCGTGGTTGTTGGGGGGGTGAATGGGGGGTCATTTTGGACTGTCGTTGACGGTTGGGGGGTCGCATCGTCACTCACTGGTGTGAATGGGGCTACCACGGGTTCAACCGTCGGAAACAGAATGTCTGTCGATTCTGGGGGAAAAGTGTCAGGGGCAAAGGTGAGTGGAGTCAAAGCGTCGGGGGGGAAGGCATCTGGAGAGAAAGTTTCTGGAGAAAAGGTGTCTGCGGGGAAGGGCGAAGGGAAATCCGTGGGGGGGGTGGTCGGCATAGGGGGGAGCGGGGTGTATGCTGTGTCCACGGGAAGTGTGAGCCACAGCACGACCGATACCCAACCCAGAAGCACCAAGCCAAAGTCGAGGTAGTTCCACTTGTGTCGAAAGTACCCAAACCGACCGCGCCACAGTCCCCCCGCGAGCATTTTGATGCTCATTTCTGCCGTAAACGCAATATTGAATGCCATTTCCAGCCAATTCACAATCTACCGTCAGAAATAGATTTTAAACTTGCAATCATGATAATGTGTGACCAACCTCGCGAGTGCGCGCCTCCTGGGGGGTTTCCAGGTTGGATGGGTCCAAAATCGGATTCCTCGTGCGTTCGGGCTCTTCAAAGCCGAGCAAGATGGCATTTCCAACAATGAGCAAATACATTAGCACGTGGAAAGGTTCAGAAAAGAACGCGTGAATGCACATCTTTCGCAGCCACGACGTTGGCGAGAGTCCACACACTGAAGGTGGCATGGCTGGAATGTGCAGCGGATTCATGCTCGCGGAAGGGTGTTGATGCATCGCCGCCACCGAAGGCGTCGCATCCAGCAACCCCAGCGGGGCGACCACGTTCGACGGAGCCATGCCAAATGTATAGCGTGAAACTGCCCCAAGATTGCTAGAAGATCGACCGTTACTGCACATCCATTTCGACGTATATTGCCTCACTCCTCGCCTCGATAGTATTACTGAATTGCACTCAGGAGTAGTACTACGTAGTATAATGTACAGTACTGAAGTACTGTAGTGATGGACAGCGTCCCCATGAAAGCTCTTGCGCCGCCAGCCCCTCACTTAGAGGTTCAAGACATCATTTTGCTGCTTGTCAAAAAGTGCACGTCCACAAAGCCACGATGTATAAAATGACTATTTTAAGCTAATAAAATAATGTGAGTGTTGCAACCCATTCATTCAAGTAGAGAATACATGCTTATATGATTTATCAATCGTATCTTACATAGATCAAATCTTCACGACGAAGTTGATTTCGAAATGGCGTGGTCATTCGCAGCGCTTTGGAGCTGTATGTGGTGGCTAGCTGTGGCTGCCGCGAACACACTTCCACCGTTCTATGGATTTCGCTTCGAAGTAATGATCTTCACTTGCATATTCACGAATATGCAAGTATCATGCAAATGGTGTAGACGCCAGCTCCGACGGCATCGCTAATGTCAGCAGTTGTGGATCAAGCCAGGAGCCATGCTTGCTTCGGATGGGTACAGACCACGGCACAGGTACGAAACAACGTTCTTTCGCGTGAGAAAGTTCATGGTTGGTGGTCAGGAGCACCTTGTGGGCGAAGTGCGGTGTCGCGGACAGCACGGAACTGCCATGCAGACATGGATAGAATCATCGCATCCCCAGGCACGTGTTCACGTGTACGAGTCGACCAAGATTCGCTATCACTTCACATCGTTTCGGGTGCTGGAGGCATCTCGCCGCACATGTTTCCAGTCAGCGCCCCACGCATGTGCCTCTCTCAACTCTTATGCGACCGTCAAAGACGAGCTTTAATACAACTAACTGTATCGCACGAAATCACAACATGTATTCCAATGGTGATGTGCGAAAGTTAGCTAGTTATCCCATCGTCGTGGCCACGGCTGTTGATTTCCTTGAGACGGTCGGCGTATCGAAGGGTGTTGAGGGTGTGGTTGGAGTGCTCAGAGCACGGCGAGACGGTGGCAATCATGACTGTCCGCGACGTGTCACACATAAAACTGTCTCGCAGAATCTGCGTGAGTTTGCTCTGGCGGAACGGCAGGTGCCTGGCCCCCACGTCCATAGCTCGGATGCATTCCTTGAGCGCCAGTAGGCTCTTGTTGATCTCGGCGCCTTCCATTCGCGTGGACTTACTAGACAGGTCCACACTCATCAGTCAGTCACCCTGTCACAGTTATAGCTGTCGTCGCATATACTCGTCGGTTTGCGTTTCACACGCGCGCTCGCTGCCCGCCAGGTCGACCATGGACAGCCGGCCCCTGGCCGTGCCCCCCGTGATCATCTGGTTCACGACGGTGGCCCCTGCATACAAAGTCACGCGCAGTATCGCATGCGATCGAGACGAGTCGTCGTGAACGCCGTTGATGCTTGTGATCCGCGACGCTTCGCCCTGTCGCAAGCCCCGGTTCAAAGCCAAAGTTAACACCAAGGTCATAAACAGTATTCTATACATCATCGCATACAGCAGCGCATTGTCAAACGAGGGGTAGGACTAAGTACCTTTTCGACCAAGTCGGCGAGCATCGTATCGGTGGAAATCGCGGCTTCCGACACCCCCACGAGCTGTACCACGCCTTCGTTGTCTTCGAGCGCTTGGATTTTCTTGCGGTCGTTGAGCAGATCGCACACATTGTTTTTGTAAATGTCGTAGAAACTCACACCAACATGCAGTGTTGGGCCCGTTGCCTTCGACAGCACCGCAAACAGATCTATGGCGGCTTGCCGGTACACGGATTTCCTAATACATGGAAATACAATCAATATATATATAAATATATTGTCGTTTGATATATATGTACATGGTGTAGGTTTTGCCCGAGCCAGTTTGGCCATACGCAAACACGGTGATGATGCCGTCGTCGACAAGCAGAGGAATGAGCGGCCCCACCGACTGCTCGTACACAGTGCCATTGTCAACGTGGTCGTCAAACACTCTAAAAAGCATAGTTGTGTTCTCTTATAAATATAAATAAATATTTTAATATATTATAAGATTTAAATTTTATACAATTTTTTTTTATTCCAATATCATAAAAAGCGAGATAAGGAAGAAAAGAGAAGTACCCGTCAAAAGAAAACAAGTGGTTAACTAGCGATTCGCTCATGTCGACTTTGAACTTGGGCTCGTGGCAATATAATTGCGTGTGGCGGGGGCACGTTATCACGTCATAGCCTATGGGTTATTGTTTGTCAAGGCACCACTTAGTTGATTTGGACTCAATTTTGAAAGCACTACCCTTGTGAGACAGTTCCTTTTTGCTCAGCGGACGCTTGCGTACAAACACTGACAGCTTACTTGACGACCGAGGCTCGTCTACATGGTTGAACCACACGACAGGATGAGTCTATATCACTTTTCGGGAATCGAAACGGCAAAGTGGTGCGATTATTTCATGCCAGTGTCACAGGAATGATATCGGACCAGTGCGGGATGATTTCGACGGCTTCTTCATCCCGTCGCGAAAGGCTTTGATGAGTCGGCGAAACTTGTGGCCCGTGTCGTCGCCATGTTCCTTGACCTCGTCGTCCCTATGTATAGCAACACAATTTATGATCGGTTTTCGTAACTTCTTTGATATATGCGTGTCATACTTTCGCTGCTTTTCTTGGACTTGCATGGCCCGTCGTTGTTCGCGCTTTCGCTGGATTTCTGCCAACGCCCCAACACAGGACGACGCGCCTTTGGTCTTTGCCTTGGGAACGGGTTTCGCCTTGGGCTTGGGGGCCATTTCCCCGTCCCATGTCGGGGATGGAGGGGGCGACGCAGCTGCTCGGCCTTTGGGCGGACTGTCGCGTTGCTGGGGGCGAGGTGGGGGGGTCCGAGGTAGTTGCTGGGGTTGTTGAGGAAGTTGTTTGGTTGGGCTGTGCTGCATCTACACCAATACATGCCGTTCGTGAAGAAGAGTTGGATGTTTTCAAATGTACTAAGCACTTACTTTGCCGTACGGCTGTCGGTGCACTGTGGCCGACGACGAGGACGTTATGGGCAAGTTGATGCCGGCGGTTTCGTTGGCTACGTCACCTCCGCTGTCTTGGTTGGTTGTGTTGTCGCTGGGTACAGAGGAGGTAGAAGGGGATGGTGATGCGACAGCAGCTTGCATTCGAAACGCTGACTTTTTCACGACGGCAGTGGGCTTGATCACAGACGTTTGGTCATTTTGTAGCTCTGGTGGGGTCGAGATGGGTCGGTCGTTGTTGGACGCTTGTGTCGCTGGCTTGCGCTTGGCAAATGGATTCGCAATGGCCCTAGCTTTCCACTTGTTGGATGGTTTATTGGATTCAGTCGACTGTCGTAGCGGAATGCATGGGCTTGAGGCGTCGGTACTTCTTGAAGGGGTGGTGGAGCGAACAGGTGGAGGTGGCGTGCGTGCACTGCGCGGCGGGGGTGTCATGGTGCGGCTGGAGTCCAAGGCAGGTTCATGAACAAACGTCGGAAGAGCAGACGGTGTGGGTGCAAACGCGTTTGGTGGTGGCGGTGTCGCCGGGCGACGGGTGGCTATTGTCGGAAGCGGCGGACAGCTCACAGACTTTTGAATGGATGGCAACGATTGAGGGTCGTGATAGAGAGGATGGTGTCGATGGGACTGGTTGTTGTGATGCGAATAATCGTCCTGCTGGTTGTTGTCTAATGGTAGCGGCGTCAGTTTCGCTGGCGGTTTGACCGTCGCACTCGACAGCGACTGCCGCAATGGATGGGTGGCGCTGCTATGGTACACAGCTGGTTTCTGCCATGTGACGTTTTGTGTACTCACGACCCGTGCTCTCGCTTTCATCCAGTCTGGAATCGGCAGCAACCCCGCCGGGTCGTCACCTGGTGCCGACTGCGGCTCCATGCTGCTGGTGAAACCAACTCCGTCGCCGCGCCGTTACGCTACAGTGTGTCTTTTGAGAATAGCACAATGTAATTGGCCAAAACACTCATCCATCCTGCCAATGAAATTGATGTATTACCGCATTAAAGATCTGCTCAAAGCGTCAACTCAACTTGGCCATGGCGGCATCCAAGAAGGCCGTATACGTGGCAGCGACCAGACAGCATGTCGGCAAGACCAGCACGTGTCTGGGGCTTCTGCAGGGTCTCACAAACCGGTTCGACCACATTGGCTTCCTAAAACCTGTGGGACAGCAGTCGGTGCTCGTCGAAAACAACGTTCGCGTGGACAAGGACGTTCGTGTCGCCAAAGGTACTGCTAGCTGTCACAGCGTATATGGATCTCATGCGTGCTATGACATATTGATTGGTGGGTAGAGATCTTTGGGCTAGATCGATGCGATTATGCAGACATGAGCCCTGTCGTGATTCCACCAGGGTACACGCGGGACTACCTCGATGGCAAAATCTCTCTCGAGTCGCAGCTGTCGAAAATCCGCACGAGCTTCGACCGGATCGCGTCGCAGAATGAAGTACTCTCTGTCGCATCCACATAATACCCGTCTCACCAACTTCAATCATGTGCAGTTTACCGTCGTGGAAGGCACGGGGCACACCGGCGTCGGGTCCATCGTGAACGTCAACAATGCGCGCGTGGCGGCAGAGTTGGGCGTGGACATGGTGCTCATCGCGAATGGTGGCATCGGCTCGGCATTCGACGACTTGTCGTTGAATCGGTCGGTATCTATCCATCAACGATCATCAGTCAAGCCAAAAAGCCAAACTAGGCCATTGAAAGTGCAGTTGATGCTAGAACCTAGTACCCATGCAAAGCTAATCCCAAACCACCACCGTCGTTCTTACGTAGGGCCATGTGCCAGCAGTATGGCGTCCGCATCCGTGGAGTTATCCTCAACAAAGTTCGACCCAACGTACACGAAAACCGTCCATCTATCCATCCATTCTATACCTCGTTCATCGCCTTATGTTTGTGGCTTAGAAAATCGACATGATGTGGGACTACTTTCCCAAAGCCCTCAAGCAGTGGGATATCCCGCTGTTGGGCGTCGTGCCAGACCTGGTAACCTATATCGCATGCATCCCTCCCCCTTTATCTCATGTTTCCTTAATGCAGCCCCGACTTGCGCAGCACTCGATGATGGACTTCGAAGATTTGTTCCAGACGACGCTGCTGAGCGGCCACTCGCGTCGCATGAAGCAGTACAACGCCGTAAACCTCGTCACATCTGGGCTGAGACGGTTCCTCGTCGAGCTCTCATCCAACCACTTCAATGACACGCTGTTCGTGGCGCACGCGAGTCGCAACGATATCATCCTCGGCTTCCTCTCACATAGCCAGAACTTTGAGCTCAAGACAGGTCAAGAGTTTGGGGGCGGGCTTATCCTCACCGGCGTGCCCCCCAAGGACGAGCCCCAAGACTACACGATGGACATCATTTCTCGCGCCAACTTGCCTGTGCTGTACGCGCCGCACACGACGTTTGAAGCTATGGACATGATGGGCAATTTTACCGGTACACACATACAGTATTATTTTTGTCCAAATTTGGCGGATTCTATGCCAATATCTATATCGATCGATGTCTTTTGGATGGAAGGATCGTCCAGTCTCACACTAATTGAAGTCACACACTAATTCGATGTTGCATTGGTCGAAGAGTGGATTTATTGATTGGCTACTTGATTAGTGTTCTGGGTTTGGAAGGATCGACCTGTGTCACACTAATTGAAGTCACACACTAATTCGATGTTGCATTGGTCGAAGAGTGGATTTGATTGGCTACTTGATTAGTGTTCTGGGTTTGGATTGGTCGTATATCGATTGTCTGCCGATTTGGTTATTCTGCTCATATTCGATTGAGCTCCCAAACAATCCAAAATTTCGAATCGACTTGACATTCTATCTCTCTATCTATATCTGTGACACTGTGTCACTTTTATATTCACATACGAGTGGCTAGCCAAATTCAACGCCACCGACGTCAACAAAGTACTCTCTTGTGCCAAACACTACGAAGCGTGCATCGACTTTGCCTCGTTGCTGCGCGATGCTTAACCCTTTGATTTTTTAAATGTAACGTCGAATGCGAGTCACGATGAGTATGCGACAGTGCGGGCACTCGGTCAGCTTGGCGGCGCACGTCGCGCACGTCTCGTGGCCACACCCAAACACAGTGTCCTTGACATACTCCTGGCAGATTGCGCACAGGTTGGCTTCTTCCAGCGCATGGATACGCTCCAGCAGTTCGTCCACGTTGCTAGTCTTCTTGGCCTCGGGGTTCAGGTCAAGGCCACAGATCTGGCATGCGACGTGGGTCGCGGGATTTACATAAGTGCAATGTGCACATGTCTGGACATCAGTCGGAGTGTTGAAGCCAGCTACGGTGCTTTCAATGAGCAAATTCTGTACGTCAGGAGACGTGGCCACGTCATACGCCACTTGGCCAGCCTGGACATGTCAGAATGCGTTGTCAAACAATGATACTAGTACGGCCGAATGATATATTGGAAGGATACCGCGTTGCGCTGGGACGTATCTGCACCGGCAGACAGAAGAAGCTTGACTAGTTCCACGTGGGATTGCGCCGCGGCTTCGTGCAGTGCGGTGGTGCCGTCCGCCCGGTTGGCAAAGTTCACGTCAATGTGCTTGTACCGGACAAGCAAGGTCGCAATGTCCACTTGGTGGTGCAATGTGGCAAACGTCAAGAGCGACCATCCATTCTACACGGAGCTCGGGAGTGACGATGGATTGGTTGTGGGACCGACGACAATGGAATGGACACGACCTCGCCAAAGGAAGCGTTGATGTCGCTGATCTGTCGAGCGCGGAGGCGCCGCTTAACTTCGCGCCACTCGCATCGCTCTGCACACACCGCCACGGGCAACATGCACATGCCGAGGAAGTAGGTGATGTCGTTGTCGGACGCGAGGTCCAGCGGTTTCAAGCCGTCCTACAGAGTCGAAATGTGAAACATATGATGGCGACGTGACTGACGTACGTGGTTGATCACATGGGGGTTGGCGCCTGCATTCATAAGAAGGACCACAATGTCGACGTGGCTGTGCTTGGCGGCTTCGTGGAGCGGCGTATTCCCATCCTACGTCTTAAACATGAACATGTTGCACTGGGAATGGACATACGCTGTTGGCTTTGTTGATCTCAATGCCTCGATAGTGCAGCAGAAGCGACGTAATCTCCAATTGTCCTTTCCAGCTCGCAAAGCACAGCGCCGTCCACTCGAGCTACACGATCGCCGTCACGTGTCTTCTTCTGCTGACAAGTCGAGCAACGAAATGGAAACTCAAGCATAACGTACCACGCCAGCAGTCGAGTTCACGTCTTCCACGGTGCGCATGAGGATGCGGTTCTTGACTTCATCCCAGTACTCGTCTTGCGCAAGCTTGGCGATGTTGTTCCCCATAACGCTGCCCCTTGGTCTCAAATGAGTTTCAGAAAACGCCGCTCGAACAAGCCACGTACTTCAATTTATATAATTACTTCATTTAAAACTGGTTTCATGCCTAATTGCTGTGGCAGTTGCAAATTACTATATCCCCAGATATTTCAATTTCCAAGTATTTTATTAACATTACTATTATACTTCAGTAGTAACTCACTTATTCGAAGTACCAAGAACTAACTACAGTAGTACTGGGACTGCACATGACAGTTCGTTCTCTCACTAGAAAGAGTAGATCATGATGATAAAGATAATACATGCGATCTGGGAGATGCGGGAACAGGATACAAACACATCACTTTGAAGAATTAACAGTAAGGGTCCTTGATTCTGTCAAATCATGGTGTATGACTTACCATTGTCGAGTGGACACAAGTAACTTTGTCACGTGCGAGTCAACCAGGAACTGAATCTGCCTCTTCCACGGAAACAAACGGCGTGTACATATGCGCAACAGTTGCATATTGTTATTCGCTTGAACATGTTTATGATGATATTTGTATGATGTATGTGTATTTTTATTCTCAGTCCATCCACGACCCGTTCTATTTTATTAAAAATATTAATATGTTCTTACAGTTTTCATTTTAATGAAGCATTCTTTTACACCCAAGTTCTGTATTGGATTTGACCATTTTAAATAATTGTGTAACCGTTACAACTCAAGATTACAATCTATAATGTTATGCGAGTTTTTCATGCGACATTTGAAAGGTATTTCGAACATTACTCAAAAAATAAAGTGAATCAAGGTATCTTTATGACAGAATCGAATTCACGGAGGAAAACTGCGTATGCCTACTGAATTTCATATATTTTTCTTAGGACCTCAAATACAAGCACAAAAAGGGTCGTGAATGCTCTCAACCACTGTCAGTCGCAGAATTTTGACGTTTTGCAAAACGATCTAGAGTATACTAGAGTATACATCCTGCAGATTGTGCATGCGTACATGTGGGAAAGGCGCGATGCAGCTCAGCGATTTCTCAATGCATACTGCACAACGGGCCACGAACTCTCTATTCCTCATATTGTCAAATCGATTCGAAACTGGAGCCTCAGCAGAATCGAATGTCTTACGAGAATGGATTAAAGAACCGCCTAAGCCAATCAAATCACGTCCTGTCGAATTTCTGCCAATCCAAACGGTTGACCTTTCCGCATTGGGCAAAACCACATATATACTAATCTTTGTATAGTATAGTGTGTACAAGTTTAAATACAGTAGGATCAACGAAAGCTATTTGTCGAAACTTGCAAGACTAGGAATGAGGAAGAGGGACGCATACCAACTGTAGACATTACACCTCATGTGCAGCACATCACAATCTGCACCATGGGAGCTAACTACAGATAGCGGCATCTCATGCGCATGTGCTGCGAAAAACTACAAATTCGTCGTCCACCGTCGTCGTTTTCGTCTTCTGTACTCCATGTAGGTAAGAATGCTTGCATGCACTACCTTCCTACACATGTGGAGTACATGATCTCATAGTTTCAGCTCACCTCCATGCGTCGCTCCCGAAATCATCTACCTGCGCTTGGACTTTCCGCACATGCGCACATGTGCGAGCGCAGCATGTACAGTATACATATCGTCCGTGTACAAAATTACAATGTCAATTTGAAACGGCGCGCATTCCTGACTGCACTTGCCACTGCAAGTGCAATCAAGTGAGCGGTAGAAATCGTGTCAGTACAGCAGCCAATGTCCCTCTCATCCAACAAGTTGGAAAGAAACTCCAGATTTTGCTTTCGCCAACCAGAAATGCCTCGATTTTGGCCTTTCATAACTTCGTGTTATGAGTTTTTGCCAGTTCCTGCATCTCCCTGTCAAGCATGATCACTTAGGTATATAAATACTTGTAACGTAGAGTTCCAATTTACAGTTAACGTGGGGCACCAGTCATCAGCATCGCTCTTTGCTTACTTTCTTCGTCGATTTCTCGTTGACTACAACACATATTGAAGTGATACAAATAACGTTATCAAAATAACCGCAAGATTCAGCTCATGAATTGAGGTTCAAAGGATATCAATTTAAATAGTAAACACGTGCAGTTTGGATTTTCAAAAGTAGCGTTTTCCGTGGTTGGGCACCAGTCATCGGCCAACGTTTTAGACTTGTGTAATGTAGTGTGAATCCTCCACACTGTAGTTCGCATGCTGTCATCATATTAGCTATCAAAGGAATATGTGTTTAGATGGGTATTAACTGTTACAGTAACGACTTCGGTATGATCAACACAAAATTGACTGGTTCAACCTCTAATTTATAAGGGGCACTAATTCTTGAAGAACTACATTTTGACCAATAAGAGGTATTCGGGCATTTCTATTGGCTTACAACAGTGCCGATAACGTGTCTTTGGTGATGACTGGTACCCTACGAGACATATTTTGGAGTCGCTGTCGGGAACCAGCTCGGCACTGAGGAAAGGGTTTCGACTTCTGAAAACTGATAATTCAAGAGGACTTTTCAGGAAGCACTGAAACATCGATTTTCACAGTATATATCATGTCCGAATGTCCCATTTTCCAAACAAAACACCTCAGAAGTACCGGTACAGTACTGTACGTTTGGGCAAGATCAAAGCATTGGCGGGCCTTTTCCCATAACTATTTTTGTAGAGCTGCAATTACAAAACAAAATAGATCACCCTACGGGGAATGATAGCGTGCGTAGGGTGAGGGGTGTGGCTTTGGAATTGGCGTTGAACTGCAATAGTTATGGGCTAAGGCGCATTGAAAAGCATCCATATCCAGGTCGACTACTGCCTTTGAAATAATATACAAGTTCGAATAAAAAATATACGACAGATGGCGGCAAGTTACTAGAACACGGCTTGGGTTACTAGATTCTCAATAACGTTAGTGAACGTTAGTGAGTGAGTTGAAAATTAATTTTTAAACTCACCGCACTACTAAACACCTACTAAATTTTGAAATCATTCAAATTTGTCATGTCGCCGCGAAAACGACGAGGATGTGGGTTGAACAAAACCAAGAAGTATGCGTGGCAACCAACATGCAAGTCGAAGAGCACCGCCAAGCCTTTGGAGGTTATCAGAGCGCCAACACCACGACTATGCAAATTAGCAAAGACAAGCCCAAACAAGGCGTCACAGCAACACACTGCAAGCCCGGAGTACATCTTCGACACACAGACCAAGCGGCAAGCATGGGCTGTTTACTTCATCGAGACCTTGAATGCACCTCCAAGCGATGAATGGACCACGTACAGAGGTGCAATTTGGAGCATCATGAAGACGTTCAGTGTGCTGAGCGGGTCGTACGGATCTGTCCTGTCAGTACTGCAGGACGTTGCTGAGTGTGCTGTGGCTGGTGTCGCGTATGCTGCAGAGCCCAAGCAAACTGATGGCGTCAATAAGCTGATCGAACTTGGCTCCATCGAAAGCGATTTGATTGCAGATTGCATGGAATGGGGATGGGGGCTGCGCGAGACAACCCACATGGTCAACCAGCTACGCTTGTCGCTCAATCCAATGCATGTCGGAACGTCTGCCGTGTACACTGCATACCTCCGTATGAATCCAGTTGTGACCTCGATTGGTGCTCTCAAGCAAGGGAATGTAGACGCATCGTCAGCTTGGGCGAAAGCTCGCCTTGGTTGGGCACAGCAATTGGCAACTCGCTTTGGGATATGGTCGTGGGATGCAGATAGCGTTGTTGACTGCCCGCCATATCTGGACGCAACTTGTGTCACTGCTTTGGAACCGAGTCAAATTGTTTCATGGGACGAAACGCACAAAGAAGTCAAGATCGGTGGCTACGGGGTGAATGGATTGAAGCGTCAAGTTCGATTTCGCCGCGATGTCAACGGCAAGGTCCATCCGAATGGCGAGTTGGCCGCAACCAAGTCCTTCCTGAACATGAAGTACATGAACAAAGCAAAGTTTTGTTTCGGGTGTGCCATTGTTGATGACGGCAACGGCGGGGTCGTCGGCCTTCGATGCAACCCTTTCCTTTACTCTGGAAAATGGATTCGAACCATCGACGAGTTCGAACAACTACAACAACAAGAAATCAGGCGGGTGAAGGCCTTGGAAGGCAAGGGTTTGCCATGGTTTCAAGGCAAGCGCACCAAGGCCGATGGTAAGAAATATAACTTGCTCGTTTATTGATAATGACGTAGGAATATTTTGCAATGACCCAGTTACCTCGTTGACTGGTGTTGGAGTAAAAACATCGGAGAAATTGGCTTCGCTTGGCATCCACGTAGTCAACGACCTGAAAAACATGTGTGACGAAGACATGCGTGCTGCAAGCAAACTTGGTTTGGGCATTACCTTGTGTGCATTGCGTCAGCTGCACATGCAGACGCTTGAGGCGCAACCAGGGGCGTACATGGACGTGTCCATCGATCACAAGCTAGCCGTCAACCCATACCTATCGTTGTATGGAAGTGAATGGAAGTCTCACATTCAACGCTCCAATCTCATGCAAGGGAGCATCTGCATCATGGACCTTGTCGAGCATATAATCCAAGAATCGGCAATGGTCATGGCCTTACCAGGGTTGTCCTACAAGCAAACGCATCATTCAAGATGTAACCAAGTGTTTTTCAAACCATTTGCTGGCTGTGATCAACGCCAGTGGTACAGTTGTGCAGGGACTTGGAAGCCGAAGCGGGTTACGAAACACGGTGCGGAATGGTGGTTGGGGTGGCACACGTACTAAATCACTAGGCCTTGCATTGCGCTGGGTGCATGATGATGCGCTTGAACAAACCAACTTGCTGGTAGCTAGAGCAATCGTTAGTCAGGTGGCACCAGATAACATATTTTTCATATAGACTTCTAAATTTGCACATGAATGCATCAGGGCTCAATCAGCACCATGAGTTCAGGGACGACGGAATACCAAAGGTCGAGAAGACATTCGCCGGTATCCAAAGCAGAAAATCCGTGGGCGAGGCCGAGGCGGTCCCATGACTACTGCAGTGGGCCATTTGACAAAAGCTCCATAAAACCTGAAAACCATATTGTATGCCAATTCGCACCGACGGATTCCACTGATGCATTCATGTGAAAATTGAAAAGTGAGATCTTGAAAGGATTTGACGATTTCAAGTCGTTTATGTATTGACAGGGTGTCAAATGCACTTGCTATTTGTATTGTCCTGTCAATTGATACCCCTTTTATATTATAATTTTGCTTGGGGTTAAAAGTATCTGTATACTTGACTTTCTGTGAATTATAATAACTTTTGTAAACGTATATTAAATCAGTTATTGAGTATTAGAGGTATGAACCACCTTGACTACTAGGGTCTAGTAGGTAATTTAAATAAAAGTGGTGCACACGTGAATAAAATTACCGTAAACGTAATCATGAACAGATAGAAAAAAGGAGGTTTTCGATCCCTTATAACAAAGCCAAATATTCTCTATGTTCTGTCAAAATTGGTATCAGGACTTTTCCTCTCCAGACAGGCCATATCCCACAATTTCGTGTAAATCGGACAAGAATTGACAGGGAATCCATTCGACTTCCCCAAACGTACAGTAGTAGGGGACAATTTAAGGGGATGTATTTTAAGCTGATCGTATTATTCATCCTTGCATATACATACTACGTAGTATTTTTGTCGTTAGGGTATAATATTCTGTCAGGTACAAGTAAAGTAATTGATCTTTATAAAACACATGGGATCAAGGAGTTCATTGATTTCAACAGGTAAGCTCCGTGGGTAAGCTCTACACAAATTTCAAGGCAGGCGATTGGCTGATATCCCTTAAATTGTCCCATGTCTCTTAAATTGGAACTCACAGTCAACGTGATACGCTCGTCAACAGTATTGTACAGTATACCGGTATGATGTGACATCAAGTCGCCCTCTCGGTCGTCGGTAGTTCTGGCGAGTGACCTGCTACACCTTGACGACGAGCATGTCATTGAAACCACTTGCACAATACCAATGGGCAAAGAAAAGCCCCCTAGTGCTATAGGCCAACAACTGGTTACATTCTAACGTAACGTTTACAGTGATTGCGGGGGATCCATCACTCATGCAACATGCTTCATCCCACCAAGATCATCATTTGTCCAGGGGAGCAAAGAACCTTCTGCGCCACTGGAATGCGCGAGGGAAGTTCTCGTGATGATGCACACAATGAATGCATCAAGGTTGTCAGATCGACTTCGCCGAATCGACGAAAGGGCAGCCATGCGACAGGCGTTTCTGATTGGTTGGGAAAAGTGGTTACGGTTTGGGTGTGACGGTGGACTTTTCACTAAGTAAAAGCTCCATGACCAGCCGATCTCGGTCGAATTCCGTCGACGTGTCGGCGCTGCTGGTGGTTCTCACGCCGTCGTCCGTGACGAAGCACCAGCAAGCGGACTTGGAAAAAGTGCACTTGAATGCCGACGCGCACCCCGACTTGCGCCAAGAGACGGTCGCGCTCCTCCAGCTTGCGTTTCCCATCGTACCTACCCCATCGTCCTGTGGTGGCCTATAACCATTCAAGTAGATAGCCACGCTGGCCCTGGAGTTTTTGCCTGGCGCGTTCTCTGTGGCTATTGTCGGCCACATTGACTCGCCCTTGCGCAAGGAGTACGTCGATGCCGCGACCTTGTCGACGATGGTACGTACCCCCCTCTTGGTCGAGTACTTAGTCTGAACCGTCGTGACTTTGCAGTTTCTCAACATCTCGGGGCTATCGATTGGGTGTGGCCTCTCGACGGCCATGGACACTCTGTGTTCGCAAACCGTGGGCGCGGGCAAGTTGTACAACCTCGGCATGTACTTTCAAAGCGGGTTGATTGTGTTGGGGTAACTAACTATATGTAATCGCATCTTGCATAACGTCTCTATATCATACTTTGGTTGGTTGTTGATTGAATACATGTACTTTGTTCACAAGGTCCATGTTCCTTCCGTCCCTGATCTTGAACTACCATGCCGAATACTTTCTCTTGGCGCTGCATCAAGACCCAGTCGTGGCGGCGCTGGCGGGTACGCTCTTGTCCTTGGTTTCTTGGCCATAAACTGCAATTCGTACGTAGGCACGTATTCCCGCGTGTCAGTGTGGTGTCTACCCGGGTTTTTCCTGTACGAATTGCTGAAAAAGGTGCTCCAAGCCCAAAACATTGTCCACCCCATGGCGTACATTGCCATTGTCAGCAACGTCGTGTACGGTCTATTGGGCTACTACATGTGCTACTACACCGAGCTTAGTAAGCACACATACACTCTCTCTCCGTTTGAACTTTTCAAGTTGAACGCCTCATGATGATATTGTCTTTCTTTTACTCAAAATTTGGATGACTTTTGTGCTGAATCGCCAAATCTATCGTCAATCGATTCTTTGTACTGAAATTTGTATGTAAAGTGGTGATGGGTATCACACTAATTCAAGTCACACACACTAATTCGACGTTGATGATGATTTCCTGCAACCTGATTGGCTAAACCCTTCTGCCGATGATGATTCTTGTGTACTTTATTTGGTTGTGTCGTCGATTCATTCGCCATGTTGCTCCAGTTTAGAATAATCACAAGAATATTTCTAGGCTTCCTGGGCGCCGCGTATGCGCGCACGATCAGTAACACGCTGCTGCCTGTCTTTGCCCTGATCTACTTGACGTGGAACCCCGTGTACAAGGTGTGGTGGCCGGCCGACCACAGCGTGTCGTCGCAGTGGAAGGCGGCGCTGGCGCACGTCCCCGAGTTCTTCACCCTCGGCATCCCCGGCATGCTCATGATGTTGATGGAGTGGTGGGCGTTCGAAGTGTGTGCGGTTATGGCGGGGTGGATGGAGGACCCTGTGCTCGCCATCAGCGTGCAATCGGTGCGAACATCATATTCTCTATATAGCAATACTGTAACGTCATGGCACATATTTGATTGGCTACAGTGGTTCGTGCTTGATTTTACTCGCTGAGGCTTGAATGTTGCTTGACAGAGAATGAGTACTGCTTGATTCTGATGGTAGTTTGTTGTGTATATTCAAAACTGCCGATACTGTAACGTCATCGCACATATTTGATTGGCTACAGTGGTTCGTGCTTGATTTTACTCGCTGAGGCTTGAATGTTGATATCGGTTGTTGCGATGGTTCAAACGATTGGTTCTGGTGATGATATCATCTACTAATCGTGCCATGTTCTGACGCAGGTCCTCATGAGTTTGTCGGCCCAAGCGTACAGTTTATTCTTGGGCTTGAGCATCGCCACAACGGTGCGCCTCGGGAACGCCCTCGGGGCGAATGAACCCCATCGGGCGGAATTGATTTCAAGAGTCGCTCTTGGAGTCGCGCTTGTCGCGGGTGCGTTCGTGTCGCTGGTGTTCTTGGTCACGCACGAGTACCTGCCGTTGATTTTCATCAGCGACCCCGCCTCCATCGAGTATGTACAGGACTTTACAGTAATAGGGGATACATGGACGACTCGCTCATACGGGGACTTTCGTGTAGGGCCACGCAACACGCCCTCGCCATGTTTGTCGTGTTTGAACTGATCGACTGCATGAGTTGTGCCGCGCAGAGCTTGCTCAAGGGCATGGGCAAACAGGCCATTGGTGCGTAGTGGGCTGATTCTCGATTAGTTAGTTGGTGTTTGTACTCGTTCAAACGTCGTTCTAACGTTCCTTGGCCGTGTGCCACGTACAATTATTGTGTAGGGGCGTGGGTCAATGCGGCGGCGTACTACTTGTTTGGGATTCCCATTGGCGCCTTGTTGGCGTTTCAATATGGGTTTGGTGTTGAAGGGTTGTGGGTTGGGCTCGCGCTCGGGCTCTTTGGGGGTTTCTGCGTCTACTTGTGGTTCATTTGCCGCGTGAATTGGAAGCAAATGGCCGATGACGCCGCCGTCCGCACGTCCACGTAGAGCACCATCCTAACAAGTGCATGTTTTCATCGATATAACGGCAACCAAACTGCACCATTTTCTTGGAGGATAGCTGTAAGTACTTATGGGCAAGTGCAAAGTCACGCAGGAGCACTCGCCTTCAATTTCCATGATCAGAAAGGCTGGCTGGCTGTATCTTTGTCAAAACGTTCGTGTGGAATCAGGGTAATTCGAAGAGAAGATCGTAGCAAATTGTGTGTGACACGGGTCAAACCTGTTTATCCCAACGGTGTCTACCAATCCCTGTTCGTTGACTCCTTGCATGGATGTATTTCCCAGTGCATTGCATACTAACGTTACTACGAACTTCGGCGGCACTGCATCGCTGATGTCGTTGTATTGTTGATTGGCCTTGTGTGCGGGGATGCTGCTCTGCCGACGCCGCGTCGTCGTCGCGTGGCTGTGCGTGGCCTTATGCGTCGTAGGCACGACCGGCCAAATCGGCAGCAAGAACAACATCTACTGCAAGAAGACTCCAAACATGGGCACAGGCGCGTCGTCCAGCTTTCTCACTGACAGCAAGTGCGAGTTGGACGTGCTCTTGGTGGCGTCCGCGACCGGGCCTGGCAAAGAGGTCAAGTTTTACTTCCAAGTGAACCGCACCGTGCCGTTCGTGCCATACCCAGTCTACGAAGTGCCGGCGGACCCAACATCCCAGCTCGCCGAGATCGAAACGGGGTTTGTCGGGCTGGTTCCGTCTGACTTCGACATTTTCAAGATTGGCCGCGTGGACACGATCTCATTTGTCAACGGCAGCATATTAGAGCGCAAGAACTTTTCAGACTACGGCGTCGAGACGTTGCTCGAGCCCAGGCGCGCCATCTCGGTGACGGCAAAAGGCTCGTACAAAGCGCTCGGGTGGTTCCGTGTCACAGACAACACAACCAACTCGACCAACGAATACATTGCGATCCGAGACGCCGTGGAAATCAAGGACATAAAGGCCATCTCGTTTCCTTCCATGTACATCGATATGCATCCCCTCCATGAAAAATTGCCCCTTAAACTGGTGTTGTTCTGTAGTGCCTTCGACGCCAAGACTACGTACTGCTGGCGGGTGACCAACACGACCAAGTTCGATGGGTTGACCTACGATGACCAGTCATTCGATTCGGCATGCCCAGTGTCGATCTCCGTGTCCAGCCCCCGCGTAGCCGCCAACCTCGTCACGTTCGGGGTCGCTTGGACGATTAAAGTCGTGCCCAACTACGTGCAAAACGGGGGCAAAAGCGTGTACGCGCTAGGGTTATCCGAGGACGCAGCGAAAGTGGCGCCGATCTTGCATACGACTTTGCACTTTTGCAGCATCGACGACGCAGCCTTGTGCCACATGTTCAGCCCCAACCCGTTCGCGCTGTCGAGTCCAGACCTAACGGGCGCATTCGACGGCGGCCGCGCCGACTTTACCGCGCCCGGACTGACCTTGACCAAGGGACTGTACGTCGGGTTTGTCCATGGGGTGGTGGCCAAGGCGGACGGGTCGCTCCTCCACGTTGCCACGTACGTGACTATCAAAGTGGACGAAAAGCAAGTCAAACCACCGCCCGAGATTGCCCCCCTTACCCAAATAGCCAACAAAACATATTGCTGGAAAGTGTTTGCATCTGCGTCTGCCCGCAACGTCAGCGCCGCGTCCGCCCTCGGCGGGTACTCTGTCGACGACTCGTGCCCCCTGACCGTCAAGGTAGCCATCCCTTCACAGGTCGTGACCAACTCGTCGGTGGGGGTCCAAGCGCTAGCCAGCGCGTCCCCCGTCCTCCCCAGTGTGGTCACGGTGGCCACGTTGCCGGACGGGTTTGTGGTATCTCAAGCAACTCTGGCCGTGTGTCGCCGCAACGCGTCGTGCGGTCCGTTCTCTTCGCACCCTTCGTTGATCGATATCAACATCACTGGCCCGACATCGTTCATTCCGACGTCGTTGGTGCTTCGCAAGGCTGGCTCGTACAACGTGTACTTGGTCGTGACGGTAGATGTGGGCAAAGGTGTGCGGCTGGACGTGAGCGTGATGGCGTCGGTTCAAGTGATAGACCCAATCCCGCCC